AGTCGTAGTCGTAGTCGTAGTCGTAGTCGTAGTCGTAGTCGTAGTCGTAGTCGTAGTCGTAGTCGTAGTCGTAGTCGTAGTCGTAGTCGTAGTCGTAGTAGTAGTAGTAGTAGTAGTAGGAGGAGGAGGAGGAGGAGGAGTAGTAGTAGTCGTAGTAGTAGTAGTAGTAGTAGTAGTAGTAGTAGTAGTAGTAGAAGTAGTGTAGTAGTAGTGGTAGTAGTAGTAGTAGTAGTAGTCGTAATAATACTATTACTAGCAGTGGTAGTAGCAGTAGTAGTAGTAGTAGTCGTAGTAGTAGTAGTAGTAGTAGTAGTAGTCGTAGTAGTGGTGATCGTAGTAGTAGTAATAATAGTAGTAGTAGTAGTAGTAATCGTCGTAGTCGTAGTAGTAGTAGTAGTAGTAGTAGTAGTAGTAGTAGTAGTAGTAGTAGTAGTAGTAGTATTAGTAGTCGTCGTAGTAGTACTAGTAGTAGTTGTTGTTGTTGTGTTGTTGTTGTTGTTATTGTTGTTGCTACTGTTGTTGTTGCTCTTGCTCTGTTTCTGAAGTTGCTGTTTTGTTGTCGCTGTTGTTTTTTTGTTGGTCCTCGAATGTTTTTGTCTGTGCTTTGCGGTTTGTTGTTTGTGGTTGTCCCGCGACCCACCCGTCACCCTTCCGCGACTCACCCGCGACCCACCCGCGACCCAGTCGCAGCCCACTGGCGACCCACCACTCGACCCGCCCGCGACCCACCCGCGACCCACCCGCGACCCACCCGCGACCTATCGCGACCCAGCCCGCGACCCACCCGCGACCCACCCGCGACCCACCTGCGAGCAACCCCGCGATCCACCCACATTGCTTAGGCGAAAAAATCGTAGTCTGCGGCGAGCTCGTTGTACAATTTGTAAAATTTAGCGCCTGCGGCGGGCTTCTTCGGAGCCTCGCAGACTGCCGATCTTTCCGCCGCCACCTCACTCTTATCCGCAACTGCGGGGTGTTACTGTTTTTGCATTTGTTTTGAAGTTTCTGGCGATGGCCCGGGTTATTGGGCCCGCCTGCCCGCCCCACCATCCCGCCTGGATAACCTGACCTTGCCGGTTGCACGGGTCCAAAGGGGGCACGCAGTGTTGGCGCTCCAAACAAAAAGGCTGCCCCCCTCCCCCCAAAGGATAGCCCGGGTTGTCGCCGACAAATATGGAACGACCCCACGCCGCTGCTGCCTTCCCGGCGCGCGCGGAGGATCCGGGGCCCTGCCCGCTGGTGGAGGTGCTCCTGCGCGGCCCACCCGACCCAGCATTGCACGAGGCCCCGCCCCTTGCGCCTCGGGGCTCTCTCTCTCTCGTGTGTGTGTGTGTGTGCTTGAGCCCTTTCGCTGGTGCAGTCAACTCTGCCTCGCCGCCGACGAAAAAAAAATGTGTGTGTGTGTGTGTGCGTGTGTGTGTGTGTGTGTGTGTGTGTGTGCGATTCTTGAGGGCCTGGCTGCGTCCGCGCGCTTAGTATTTTTACTTCCTCCGCCTCGTCGCTGCGCGCGAGGCCCCGTGTACGCATTATGGTAGGCGCTGCGGAATCCAGGGCGATGCTTGAGGGCTCGGCCGCGGCCCGGCTGCGGCCTGGCTGCGTCCCTGCCGTCGGCGCTGCTGGCCGCCGCCAGCGCCGGCGCCGGCGCCGAGGCGGGGGAAGTGGTTTGGACCCCCCCCCTTGGGCTGCCTCTTGTCATCGTCGTTGCGTCCCCGCCGTCGGTGCTGCTGGCGGCCGCCAGCGCCGGCGCCGCGGGGGGGGGGGCGGGGAGAAGGAAGGTTTGGACCCCCCCCACCTTTGGGCGGGGGGGGGGGTTCGGGAGGGGGAGGGTTAGGGGGGAGGTTCGAAACGCGCCGCCGAATGTTCCCAAGGCAAGCGCCCGTGAAACGCGCTCTCGCAGTTCTTGGGATCGCCCCAGAAACTGATAAGGAGTTGAAGCTCTGTTATATCCAAGGTCGTAGAATCTGTTATTGGTTGTCAGCTGGGAAGGAGTGCGCGCGATGGGCTATGACTCAGGCGCGGACGTGTCGGAGATGGCTTGGCGCGGCTCGGCCTTCAGGGGCAGACTGCGAGCGGTGCGCTTGGATAGTGAAAGGCAGCGCGAGATGGCGAGAATCAGCAGCGCGCCGACAAGACGCCCGAAGAAGGAAGAGCACGATCGGCCACGCGCGCGGTCCGTCGGTCGGGCACGTCTCACGGTCGGATCGCATCTGTGCACGTGGGAGGGAGCACTCCTGACACGCGTCCTGGATGACGTGGTGAGCGTGGGCACCACAGGGATCCTGGTCGAACGCTGCTGCTCTACGGGCGTCCACTGCACAGACGCAATGGGGACAATCGCCAACGCCTTGAGTAGCGTGACGGCCTGGAGAGGCCCGATGCTATCAGGTGATAGGCGGCAAGCAGAGGACCTGGGTCCATACAGACCCCGTTCGAGTTGCTAACAGCAAAGGCGCACATATAATGCATTGCGAGCAGTGTGCTACACTGCGAAGGGCCAGGCAAATTCGAGACACATCATATATATATATATATATGTATATATAGATATATAGGTGTGTGTGTGTGTGTGTGTTTGTATACATATGTCGCTTTCTACTGGCCTTCACACCTCCTTCTCACTGGTCGCCTGCCGCCTTGCTCGCTGGGTGCCTTGTTCCTCGTCCACGTCCGTTCGGGCTGCACTGCGCTTCCGCTTGTCGTCCATCGCTGTGCTGGCACTTTCGTATTCTCGTCCCCCCCCCGCTGCCCATGTCTGGGGATGCGGGCAGCACGGGTGATCCATGGCTGGATCCCTGCTACATTTTTTGAGGGACCAGCCGCGCGCGCTCTTTTTTTTGTTGTTTTTTTGTTTCTCTCTCTCTCTCTATCGTTTTTTTTTTTTTTTTTTTTTTTTTTTTTTTTTTTTTTTTTTTTCTCTCTCTCTCTCTCTCTCTTTCTCGGCTTGACATGCTTCGCCTCGTCGCTGCGTGCGGGGCCGCGGCGCCAAACGTGTGTGTGTGTGTGTGTGTGTGTGTGGGCTAGAATTGGCCCTGGCCCATGCCATCGGCGAGCAACAGGCGACCACCACCGTCCGGGCTGAGGGAACCGCCTCAAAAGGGGTCGGCGCGAGGGGGGCGGCCTCCTGAGGAGGTGGGGGGGCCTTCTCAGAAGGCCCTCTTGCGGGCTTGTGCGAAGACTTCTCGGGAACTTCCGGGCCCGTCTAAGAAGGCCCCCGCCCTCTAAGAACCCGTCGTTCGAGGAGCTGGGGAAGGCCGTCGATGGGAGAATCTCATGTTAGACGAACACAGTTGGAGAGAGCACGTGAATGCGGCATGCGCGCCGTAACGGGCTGGCTGTGGCGCGCTGGCGCTTTCCTCCCCCTCTCGCGTTTCCTCGGTCGTCCCCCCTCGTCGTTCGTCCCTCCCTCGCTCGCTCCGCCTCGCCTCCCGTCCCCGCTCGTCGCGCGTCCCTCCCTCCCTGCGTGCGTCCTTCCTTCTCTGATATGTCTGAATTCATCATGTAGCGCCTGTCGACGCGCCTCTGGGCGTACGGCTTCTATTCTGTTCTGCTCTGTTCTCTAAGAACCCCCCCCCTGCCTTTTCGGAATGCCCTCCCCCCTCCTCTCGCGCCACCCTTTCTTGGGGCGCTTCGAAGCGTGGGAACCGCCCCACGGCGCCCCCGTGGGGCCGACCCTGACCCGCCAGCAGTAACGAACGACTTGCGCGCGGCGCCCGCTGTCGAGCGCCGCGCGCAGGTCGTCACTGTTGGGTGATCGGGGCATTCCAGTCCTCGCCAGGGGTGGCCTCCTCCTCCTCCTCCTCCTCCTCCTCCTCTTTCCGTGCTCTTCCTGGAGTCTCTCGGCCGGAGCTCCCGGCGCACTGGCGCATCCGTAGGGAGGTCTCCCTCGAGGGAGGCGGTCGGGGCACTCGTAGGGGGGGTGGGTGCCAGGGGTGGCTCCCTCCTGCGGGGGCGTTCCAGTCAGGGCCCTGCGGCTTCGGGCGCGTGTCGCCTCGGGCGGAGGCCCGCGGAAAAGCGGCCAGAGCTTTCTGGAAGCGACACGGCGGCGGGTCCGCTGACGGACGCGGGCGGAAATCTGGCCTGGGGCTGGGGCACGAAGATACCCACCTGCCTTTGCTCGCCCTTCGTCGGGCTTCTGGTTTAGCATCGTGCCTATTCCAGCGCCGTCCACACGGTAGTTTAGAGCCCCTCACTAGACCTCCTGCGCCGACGGATCATTGGGGGTAGTGCGCGTGTGTGTGAACATTTGGCCGAAGGTCTTAGCCGCCAGGCAACGGGGTGCAGCGCGTACGGGGCTCAGCCAGAGCGCTTGATCCTGCAGGATCCTGCGTAGCCGGATTTTGGCCGAGTGTAGTTGTGGAGCCGCTCGTGGCCCGGGAGGCCGCCGTACATGATGCTGAAGCTGGTCTGTGAAGACCCCCACAGAGTTGCAGCGCAGATTTTCTCAATTGGCTGAGCTGGGTGTGCGCTGAGCCGGGTTAGTCCACGCCCGAAGGCGGCGGAAGTAAAAGCGAGACGTGGACGTGATTGGATTCAGGGTCTTCGGACCGTGTTGGACAGCTCAAAGTCACATCAGTTGAATGTAGCGTGCGAGTTTTCGATGCAGCATGCCTTCGGGTCATTGCGTTGAGTCATCGCCATCATCATCATCATCATCATCATCATCATCATCATCATCATCATCATCATCATCATCATCATCATCATCAGTATCACCATCACCATCACCATCACTATCACCATCACCATCACCATCACCATCACCATCATTACCATCATTACCATCATTGCCATCATTGCCTTCATTGCCATCATTGTCATAATTGCCATCATTGCCATCATTACCATCATCACCATCATCATCATCACCATCATCACCATCATCATCAACATCATCCTCATCATCCTCATCATTTTCACATCATAACCATCAACATCCGCAGCCAGTTTGGCGTCATATTTGACATCTCAAGTTGTTTCGCGTCCGTAGGCAATTTGTCCAGATGGCGTTCATGTGTCCTGCGATGGGGCTGGCCCTTCTTGGCCACCTTACTATCTTCATCGCGCAAGCCTCAGCTTCATCCCACACTCGAAGCTCGTTGGCCTGGATTCTGGGCGGCATTGACGAAGACTGTGACTCGGCGTGTGCGCAGTCAGGCCGCCAGTGTGACGAGAAGGCTTGGCCCACCACGTTCGCTGAGTGGAAGGCAGTGGCGGCACTCACGCAGGGACTGAACTGCACATCGCATTCGCGCGGCACGTGGGACCACAACCCAGCGCTGTGCACAGAGGTCGGTTACTGCGACGGAATGTGCTTCTGGGAGGGCGCGGGAGCCCGGTGTGGCGGAGGCACCCGGCAGTTTCCTTCTCTCATTGCCCGGCGCATTTGCCCGTGCCGAGCGGCAGGGGAAAGCCAGCAGGCCGCCGGGGTGTCTCCTGCAGTGGCGGCGGCGCAGGCCGGGAGTGTCCAGCTGCCGCTCCCGAGGACTCCTGTACTGGCCGCAGTGGCCGATGCAAGCATCGGAGGGCGCTAATATTGCAATCGAGAAGAGCATAGTACGAATGATAAACATTTGTGTTCACCAGTGTGGAACCCAACTAGTGCGTTTCTAGCAATAAGTGTTGAGTGTTGTGATCTACGTGGTATAATATCCACCTGCCTGAGGCAAGCCCCGCCACCGCGCCTGTGGAACAGCGTAGAAGGAAGGAGGCTGAGCGTAGTAGCAGCGCAATTCCGACGAGTAGTTTGCATTGGGGCCGGTTGTGATCCCGACTTCGTCTTTGTTCGCGCGGTAGGGAGGAGGAGGAGGAGGAGGAGGAGGAGGAGGAGGAGGAGGAGGAGGAGGAGGAGGAGGAGGAAAACATGTTGAGGAGGAGGAGGATACGGCTTCTTGGGGCCTTCTTGGGGCATCCTAGGGGCCTCCTCGGAGCTTCCTGAAAGCTTCTTGGGGGCCTCTTCGGGGCCTCTTGGGGCTCCTTGGGCTGTTTTAGGGGGGGGACTCATGGCCGGTCTGACGCCAGTGAAAAGTAAGAGTACAGGGCTTGTCCATGAGGAAATGAGCTAAGAACCCTACTCTTAGGGTAACGTCGGCGACGTATCGAGGTATCCCATAACTCATCCCCTGATGGCCCTCTAGCTCCCTAGCCCAACAGCCCACTAGCCCTCTAGCCCTTTAGCCCCCTAGCCCTATTGCCCCATGGCCCCATAGCCCTATAGCCCTATAGCCCCACAGCCCCAACAAAGATTCTGATTGGGGTTTCTATCCGGTATCATGCAATCTATGTGGTGCAATAGATGGTGCAATCTAGGTTTTGCAAGCAAGCGAGGCAAAACAACGCAGAGCAATGTATGTTGTGCAATCTAACGGCGTCGACGGCGGCGACGGGACGGCGACGGCGACTACATAGCCGCCATACCAACGCACAGGCCCAGACGACGGGCGGCGACGAGGCGGAGACGGGCGGCAACGGCGACTACATAGTGGCCAAACCGACGCACAGGCCCATCTCTTTCGAGAAAAAGTAAGACCCCCAGGTGCACTGTTCTGGGAATCAGAAAACAATAAGCATGATAATAATACGAAACATGCGGATAGGAGAACTGAAACATATGAATAATGATAAGAATAATAATGAGAATAATAATAAGAAGAATCAGTGAAGTACATGAACAGAGACTTTCGAAGGTCAGCGCGTTTTTTTTATCTGCGCTGGGCCCCTGTGTCGGCGCCTCCAGCACCGCTCTTGGCGCGCTCCGCGCGCCAGGGAGGGGGATGTAGCGACTTTCCAAGACATCCGCGCGACATCCGAGGGTTTCTGTTTGCGCCATGCTTCTTGCTCTACAGTGGAGGCCCATGCCAAGACACAGCCTCCAGGGTGCCCTCGGTTCCTTTGTCTACGATGGTCTTGCGATGGAAAGCGTGTCGTTCCCGCACCCAAAATCAATGGACGTCCTGGGGTCTCAGGGTTGGGCTTCTTGTGGAAGGTTTCTTGCGGTCGGGCCCCCACTGTACATGCACCGGCCCCGATCTTGGCCAGGCTGGTGTCGTGCGTGCTTTCTTGGTGAGGGCAGGAAAAACAACGGCCGTGCACGCCGGTCCCGGGCCCAGGCTGGGGCAGGCGCGGGTCGGTGCGGGTGTGTAGTCCGAAATTGGGATTCCCAGTCGGCCCGCACAGAGTGTATGAGCGACTTTCCCAAGGGTGCCCTTTCATCCTTACCTCCTCGGCCCATCCTTGGCCACTTTCGTTGGCCGCTCTCCGCTCGAAAGGCTTCGAAATGGGCGTCCAAGGCTCTTGCATCCTTATCGTGCATCCTTATGATATGGGTCGACTGTACCCAGATCGAAGAAGAACAAAAACGGCATACACATAAACTTTTTGAGCTCCGCGCGGATTTCTTGGATCTGCGCCGGACCTGCGCTGGATCCCCCTCCCTGGCGCGCGGAGCGTCAGGGGCGGTGCTGCAGGCGCCGCCAGGGGGCTCCAGCGCACATCCAAGACATCCGCGCGGAGCTCCGGAAATGTATGTTTATGGAGTTTTTGTTCGTCTTCTGCCATGCCCACCGCCATTGAAACCGAGCTTCCTGGAAGTCGGGAGGCGGTGGACGTGGATATCTTGGGACCCAGTGCCCCTCACCGCAAATAACAAAAAGCCCGGCCTCGCATAGTTGGCGCCCTCCGAGAGCACGGAAGATTCTGGCTGCCGCGCGCGGGCAACGGCACCGCTGCTGCCGGCTCCCGCCCCGCCGCCCGAAAGGCTCGATCATGCGTAAGAGTTCGGGAGGATCGAATCGCAGACGAGGGCGAGTTCAGACAACGGAAGCTGGCCTTCGGGGTGGGCCCCTCGTCGCCACGGCTGGATGCGGCTCGGGCAGCTGGTGCGCTTGGATCCCGGGAGGGGTCCTGTGACCGACTTTGAGGTGCCGTTGTCTCCATTCGCCCCGCATCGAGACAGGGGTGCAGAGGAGACCCATGCCAAGAAACACCCTGCTTGCCTCCAGGGCGCCCTGGGATTCTTGGGTGTCGATGGTTTTGCGATGGAAGGCGTGACGTACCCACACTCCCCAAAAAATTGACGTATTGGGGTCTCAGGGTTGGGCTTCTTGTGCAAGGTTTCTTGTGGTCGGGCTCCTACTGTGCGGTAGGCTCGTGTCGCGCCGGCGCGGCGGCGACCCTGCCGCTGGCATTCAAGTGTTGAGCGCCGCCAGCGGCCCAGAGGCAACCAAGATGGAAGGACGTGGCGACCGAAGAGCCGCCGATCGTTCCAGGGTGGAACGATCCACTCTGGGCCTCCCAAATGGGGTCCGAGAAGATGGGGTCGGAGGATCGCCCCGCATCGCAGATGCATCGGCGATGCGGCTCGATGTGGAGCCCAGTGCGACGTCGGCGATGCATCGGCGATGCATCGCCGACGTCGCCGACGCATCGCCGATGCATCGACGATGCATTGGCGATGCATCGGCGATGCGGCGCGATCCTCCGACTACATCTACTCGGACCCCATCCAGGAGGCCTCTGTCCACGCGGTATCAGAAACCAACGCCAGAGTCGTCACGACACGAGCCTTCCGTGCTGAAACAAGGGGCATGAACACGAACAGCAGTTCTTTCGGTAGCAACTCATGGGAGCCTGGTATACCCTCTTAATTCTGTCTTTAGCATCGACTAGCGTCGATTAGCGTCTGAGAGTCTGTGAGCGTCGATTTAGCGTCGATCAGCGTCGATTTAGCGTCGATTTGCAAGAGCCGACAAGATCGTCTGGGAGTCTCCTATGAGTTGCCACCGAATGCCGATCTTTCAAGGTCGAACGATCCACGCGGTATCAGAAACCAGCGTTGGGGTCGCCACGGCACGAACCTGCCGCGCGGAAAAAAGGGGTGTAGAGACGAATGGCATTGCTTGTCTAACCTGGACCAGGTTCGCCGTCGGCGTCGCCGCGGGCGTGGCCCATCTGAAGCGGAAGTCGCCTGCCCAACGGCGGCCGCTGTCAGTTTTGGACAACATTTGGGCATCGTGCCCACTTCTTCCGTTCCCATTGCGGGCGTGTCAGAGAGTGACTTTTCGCCAGGTGGGTTTTGATGTGCGTCTTCCAGGCGGTGTGGGGGATCCGGACCCGAGCACGCATGCGCATGCGGCCACCTGAGCGACGCAACGAAAATGGGTTCGACTACGCGGACATCCGCGCGTAAGCTGCCCACGAACGGTCGTGCGTAAGCTTCCTCGTTTCCAATGTGGCGTTCCGCGCTGGCGGCCTGCGCAAGCCACCGCGCAAGGTCGCTGTGCCATCTCGCGTCAGGCCCGTTTCTCTTTGCCGCTCACCCGTCGCTTCGTACGCAGCAATCGGCAAGCCTCTCACCAGAGGCCCATCCGTGCCTGGGGTCGCATGTTGCGTGCAGCCAGAAGGCGGGACCCCGCCTCGGAGCCGCCGGGGGAGGCGCAGTCGTGGGCGGCGTCCGCAGCGCGCCTCCTGGGCGCGGCGGCTGCCAGGAGCGTGAATGCTGGCCGGTCCGCGCAGGGGTGAGCGCGCTTCGCGGTCTGACCCTCTCTGCACGCCGCGCCCTCAGAGGGCAGCAGGGCATGTACATACGTCGGCGACTACAATCGGGGACACGCAAGACTCGAGTATGCCAGAACTCGGGTTTGCCGACGCTTCTTGAAGAGCGCGCCTTGATTTTTTTCGGTATAGTTTTAAGTTTTCGTCGGATTTTTTCAGCGGGAGTTCGCGTCGAGCTTCAGACTGCGTCTCGTCATTCTCACGATGGCGCCGTCAGGCCAACCCGAGTCCTCCGGACCTGAGTCTTACGTATCCCCGATCAGAGGACAGCAGCACATGTGCATGTGTCCGCGACTGCAAATGATGTGGTTACGCCAGGCTGTGGTCTGCGATCCTCGTCGTTGGGGCTTTGGGGGCACCACGTTCCCCTCGTTGGGCCTTCTCGGGGCGCGGCGGAGAACTCTGCCGAGGTCCTTGTCCGCCCCATAGGGTCCAGGATGCACACCGCACCTTTTGCAAACCGCACCCTTCGGAGTCGCCGAATAGGTCGAAGATAGACAATCATTTCTCGGAGGTCTGCGCGGATTGCTTGGATTGGCGCTGGGCCCCCCTGGTGGCGCCTCTGGCGCCGATCCAAGAAACCCGGGCGGACTTGCGAGAAGTTTTGTTTATGTTGTTTTTTGTTTCTCTGATATGCGCTCGTTCTTGCCAGCATCGTCGCCAGCACCGTCGCCAGCGACTGCGGAGGTCCCCAAGCTGGCGCCTACGCCAGCACCACCACAAGTGCAGTCGCTGCGCCGTCGTGGATGGGATGTGCGTCTGGAGGGCTCTCCCCCTCTTCCACCCGGCCTCAGTGGGGACATGTCAACCGCGTTCGCATGGGGTCGCGCCGCCGGCTTCACAAAAAAGCATGTGCGCGCTCAGTTTTTCCGCACCTCTGCGTTGGAAAGCGGTCGCCCGTGCACTCGTGGTCGCGGAGGGGGGTGCACCTGCACGCGTTTCGGTCTGCTCACGCTGGATCTCGCAGGGTACACTCGAGGATTGCCATCATAGGCATGAGCTTTTGGAGGTCCGTGCGGATGTCTCGGGCCGGCGCTGGACCCACCGACCCAACCAATCCTGCTCGGACCTTCCGACGTTAACTTTGATGCAGATCTAGTGGGCTCTGGCCCCCACTCCCACCGTGCATGGGTGCATGGGTCATGGGTCATAGGTTTCTTTTGTCCTTCGGAATCCCATCGGCAAAACCTCTCGGGGTCATCAAGATGCCTCTTGGAGGCTTCTTGGAGGACACTTGGGGGGCTTCTTGGGGGCTCCTCAGGGGGCCTCTTGGGGCCTCTTTGGGGCCCTCTGGCATCCGACGCAATGCTTTCTGCTCCGTATGGAGTCCCTCCGCTGACGCCGCACCCGCGCCGGCGCCGCCGCCGCCGCCGTCGTCGTCGTCATCGTCGCCGCCGTCGTCGTCATCGTCGTCGTCGTCGTCGTCGTTGTCGTCGTCGTTGTCGTCGTCGTCGACGTCGTCGTCGTCGTCTCGCGCCGTTTCTCGACGGCCCCTGGGTCCCGGCGAAGGGGATCGCAAGCGGAGCATAATCCGTGCGGACGGTGAGCGCATCTCGTCTCTGTCGTCGTCGTCGTCGCCGTCGCCGTCGCCGTCTCCGTCGCCATCTCTGTCGCCATCTCCGTCGTTGTCGCCGTCGTCGTCGTCGTCGTCGCCGTCGTCGTCGTCGTCGTCGTCGTCGTCGTCGTCGGCGTCGGCGTGGGCGTCGGGTTCGGCGTCGGCGGCGGCGGCGGCGTCAGCGTCGTCGTCGTCGTCGGCGTCAGCGTCGTCGTCGTCGTCGTCGCCGTCGTCGCCGTCTCCGCTGCCATCTCCGTCGTCATCGTCGTCATCATCGTCTCGTCGTCGTCGTCACCGTCGTCGTTGTCGTCGTCGTCGTCGTCGTAATCGGCGTCGTCTTCGTCGGCGTCGTCGTCGGCGTCGGTGTCGGCGTCGGCGTCGGCGTCGGTGGCGGCGTCGGCGTCGGCGTCGGCGTCGTCGTCGGCGTCGGCCCCCGTCGCGGTCGTCGTTGTCGTCGTCGTCGTCGGTTCTTGTGTCCGCGTCGGCGTCCGCTGCATCGCCGTGGTCGTGGTGCGTGGTGCTCTGCTCTGGACTTGTTTCCATTGTGCAGTGACCACCGCCTCCCCCCCTGGCTATTCTCAGTGTGCCCCCTACTTCTCTTGCTGTTCCTTACCGGCCTCCTGCTCCCCCCTTCTCTTCGCTCTTCTCCCCCCTCTCTCTTGTTGCTCCTCCGCCTTCCCTTTCCTCCGGTGCTGCAATCTTTTCGTGACGTCGGCTCCCAGGAATTTCGGCCACTTCATTGGGGCCAGTTCTTCGTCCTGGGCCGTTTTCTTGTGCTCCCTGGGCCGGGGGAAACGACCTCGAGAGTCTGGAAACGACGAACAATTGTCAGTCGCTCTGTTTTGCAGCGCCTGGATCTGAGGGTTCCCCTCCCCCCCAGGGGCAACGTTACGGTGGGATAGGCTCAGGGGGGATGCATTGACGTCCAATCGCTCATTGGTCGCCGATAGGGGCCCAATAGTTCTAACCACCCAGGAGCGTGCGGACCTCGCTATCGGGAGCCTACCGCCAATCCATCGGCGACGTATCGCCGATTCCAGCTCGAAGTCTCCCCGCGTGAGCCAGCGCCCCACTTCACGTTCCCCCTCGGCCTCACCGTGGCCCTCCCAGCCGCTTGCGGCTTCTCCTCCTCGCCCTCCTTTTGGACGTCGGCGGCGAGCCCAGGCGGGATGGCAGAGGGGGCGGGCCTTCTCAGCAAGGCTCGGAAGGCCTCTGGTCCTCTCAGAAGTTTTCGAAGCTCTCTCCGAAGACTGGGACGGTTTCTCAGAATGCGCGAGGGAGGAGGAGGAGGAGGAGGAGGAGGGGGAGGAGGGGGAGGAGGAGGAGGAGGAGGAGGAGGAGGAGGGGGGAGGAGGAGGAGGAGGAGGAGGAGGAGGAGGAGGAGGAGGAGGGAGGAGGAGGAGGAGGGAGGGAGAAGGGAGGAGGAGGAGGACCTACCTCCCCTCCCCAGCGTTCCCCCCTGGAGGTTCTCCTGGAGCTCCTCTGGAGGGCCCTGCGGCGCCTCCCGCCCCGCACCGCGCTGCCGCCCGCGCTGATGCGGCTGGAGGCGAAGTGCCCCCGCCTCCTCTCCGCCTCGCCTCCGCTGCCCCGCGCGGCCGGCGTGCTGGGGTCTCTAACCTCTCCTCGGGGACGGCCACGAGCGGGCCGGAGGAGGAGGAGGAGGATCGGGCCGGGCGAAAGGGGGGGATTGGGAAAGGGGGGGGTACGAAATTTGCTGCATGCAGCTGGTTTCGGCCTCACCGAGGGGCCCATTCCTCGATACATAGCCGCTTCCGGCGCCGGGAGGCGCCGGGAAAATCAGCTACGTGAGCTGATTCTCAACCCCCCCCTTTGCTATCCCCCCCTTTCGCCCGACCCGAGAGGAGGAGGCGGGGGCGGAGGATCGCTTCGCATCCCCGATGTCTGCAAGGCGGCTCGGTGCGGAGCCCGATTTTCTACGTGCCGACGTCGTCGAATCATCACCAATGTCACCGATGCATCGCCGATGCCACGCGAACCTCCGACCCCATCTGCTCGGACCCCATCCAGGAGGCCTCTTACCTCTCCTCGGGGCCAGCCACGGAGGGGGGATGGGTATCATGGCCAGGGCCATAATTTCTACAGGATCTCATGGCACCCCTCTTTTTCTTGTCCTTCCTATTCTTCTTTCTCTTCTTCTTCTTCTTCTTCTTCTTCTTCTTCTTTCAAAGCGTTCCCTGGCTCGCCCACGCGCCTGCGCAGGTGCCTCGGGCCATGCTTCCCCTCCCCTGGACGGGTCGGGGGGCATAACGGCACCTCGCGTTTTTACGCTTTTCACTTTTCTGAAGATGAAGACAGCGATGATGTGATGCATATGCTTTGGGCTCTCGGTGATGCAGATGATGACGTCGCAGAGGATGCTTGCTATGCCAGGCTCCCGGATAAGGGCGCACTCTGGCCTGGCGCGCCGCTATTTTTAGCCGAGCGACAAAGGAAAACGCTTCCACTCTTTATAATATGACCCATCGGGCCCCCGCGGCCGCGGCCGCGCCCAAGCTCACGACGTGACAGAAATGCTCAGACCTCTGGGAAGAGGCACGTAGTAATACTTCTCATCCATCAGCGGGTGGGCCTTGCTGAGGTAGCAGCGCGCCTGGAACTCGAAAATTACTTAGCGCCACTTCACGCGGTCCAAGTTGGTCGGGAGCTTGCCGTCGTACTTGGCCTTCAACCACCTCTTCACTTGCTCTCGATGGCATTGGTGGTGAATCCTTTGGCGTTCACGATCTCGCCATCATCGTGGTCCACTAGCTCGCGGCGCAAGGTGTTTTGCGTGAGCCCCGTCTGGCGTCGAATGGCTTTAACGAGTGATATGGTCGCGCCCCATTTGTCCGAGACAAAGATGTTGCCCTTGTCGAAGTTGAGCATGTCGAGACTGTCCTTCATCTCCTTGTGCCCGCGGGGCTTGCCGTCCTTCGCGTCTACGGGGTGCTTCAAGATGCGGAACATGAAGTGCGTGCGAGCTTTTCCCTGCAGCAAGGCGCCCCAGATCCAGATTTGGTCCTTCTTGGGGCGCGCCGCCTGGTTCAACTTCCCTGGCTTGTTCTTGTTCAGGAACGACTCGTCGGCAATGAGGACGCGCTTGCCGATCGTTTTTTTGACTTGCTGCGTGGACGTCTTGGCAACTTCCGCGCGGGCTTCTTCTTCTGCGTGACCTTCCTGGCGGGGGTTTTCTTCGGCGCGGGTCGAACAGCGGGCCGCTTGCGCATTCCGCCCTCTGGCGCCCGCAGATTCTTAATCGAGTTCGGACAGATGGGGTCGTACCAGTCGCTCGCGCGCCCCCTGGAAGCGAGCAGCCAGGCGTCGACAACCTTGTGGTCGATGTGGGACAACTCGAAGATGATGGTCTTGTGGCTGTAGTCAGCGAGCCACATGACCAAAAAGTCAAATTTGTCCATCCAGTGCCCCGTACGCGTGCCATCGAAGAACGTCATGTTAGCGGCGCTCGGCTGCTTCCCGTTGCATTCGTCACAGCTCCCGTCGTGCTGAGGGCCCCGCCAACTCAGCCGCTCCCCGCCTTCGCCCCTCCTGTCGTGCTTCAGAACGTACTCCGCGTCGCACGAGGGGCGCGCCATGTCCTGCGGGGCAAACCCGAACGCCTGTGCAAAAGCGAATGCCCTTGCAACTTCGGCATCTGGCAACACCTCGGGATGCTAGACAGTTGCGTGCCTGACTTGTTTGAGGAATTCCCCGCGGTTGATCCCGTCTATGTTCTTAACGGCGGCGGGGAACTCACTCCAGTTATCATAGGCGGCCATGCTGGAAGAAACGCGTTGCCAGTGCAGGGGGCCGGAGGCGAGGGCCAGGGGCCGCGAGAGGCGATCGGACCAACGCGGCTACCACGCGCAAGCAACGGCAACCGTCCAACGACATGGCATGGCATCAGCAAGCGCTGTTTGATCGACATCACAACTAATGCTGGGCAATCAGAGAAACCCACTGAGCAAATCCGACATTGCCGAGCACTGGCGGCGATAACGCATGTGGCGGACGACGCAGCCGAGCGCTGCGGCGAGAGTCGATATGTCGATGGGGCAGGAAGACGCAGGGCGAGCTCGCGTCGCGTGGGACAAAGCTCTGCACTCTGAGAAAGCGCAGTACCCACTCAACAACACCGATATCGCTGATCACTGGCGGCTATAATGCATGCTGCGATTGACGACGACGACGACGGCGACGACGGCGATAATTGTTCAATCAGTCGGCTCAAACTCCACGTGTCAAGAGTACGCATCGAGGACAACATCAGTGTGCAGGGCTATGAAGCGTGCTGGCGGCTCACCCGGTGCACCAGCGGCGCGCGCCACCTCGGCGGCGCGCGCCCCGTCGTTGCCCGTGCCGAAAGCAGCAGCACTGCCCGCGAATTGGCACCCCACTCACAGAACGCTTCACTCCTCCATGGCGCCGCCCTGGCCCGCGGCGTCCTCTGCTGCCTGATTGCGGGCTTCCTCCGTTAGCTGGCGCTCGCTGTCGTGCTCCAGGTCTAGGTGGCGCTCGAGCTCGGCCTCCAAGTTGAAGTCGTCGCCCGCCGCGTTAGGGCGCTGGCGGGGCGGAGTGGTGAGGTCCATCTTCGCGCCAGAGTCCACCTGGTTCTGGTTGAAGAACGCCTGCTAGATCTGGTCGTAGATTGCGGTCTGCTCCGCCATCCCACGTCGCTGAGCTCGCCGCCGCGCCCGAAGGGAGCCCTGGCGCCCGTCGTCAGGCGCTTGCGGGGGGGCGACGTGAGGTCGACCAACGCGCCGCTGTCCCTCTTGTTGCCCTCGAAGAACTGTTGCTGCGTCGCGGCGTAGATCGCCTGCTGCTCGGTCGCGTCCACGCTGCTCAGCTCGCCGGCGCACCCCGTGCCAGCGACTGCAGATGGCCCTGACAAGCCGCTCGAAGAAGCCGCTCGAAGAAGCCGCGAGCACTGGCGGGGGCGCGACCTCTGGCTGGACTCTGTGCACGGGCTGCCCGAGAAGCGAAGCGCCGCGGGTGATCGACGCGGAGGGCGCGTCCTCGCCACGCATCAGGCGCTTTGCGAGATGCAGCGACCACTCCGGTTTCTCCTTGACGCCGGTCGGGTAGTTGTTCGGCGAAGTTGGGCCGTCTCCGTGCTTGCCGCAGCACGCGCGCGTCTCGGGCGACTAATTGAAGAGGTCAGGCTTCGTCTTGTTGCTGTATGTGAAGAAGGGCACGACTCCGTCTTCTGGGAACTCATCGAGTGCTAGGCGGAAATGTGCGCGCGCGTCCGTGGCCACGACGACGTAGGCCCTCGCGAGCAGGGCCTTCATGCCCTGTTCCTCCTGTGACCTGCTTCAGGGAGGACGCGATGATATTCATGAGCTGCGTGGGCGGAATATCCATTGCTTGCCCCTGGCGCCGAGCTGCCGCCAACCTTCTTCTCCAATGCATGGCCGCAGCTGTTGTTCACAGCCTGGCGGGGCGCCCCTGGGGCGAATGCGCTGGGCCCCCGCTTCGCCCGCAAGGTGGGGCCCTCCTCGCTTGGGCGAAGGAGCGCGTTCAACACGGACGCGCCTTGCTTGTGCAAGTCCCCGTCGTCGAACACCGCGGGCAGCGCCCTCTCCGCGCGCTCGCCCATGAAGGGGTCAAAGTGCTTGGCGGTGACAATGGAAGGCTCGGGGGCGCCCTGCCCAGCATCTTCCACAGGGGCGTCGATCTCGAGCATGGGCATCAAGAGCGCAAGTGTTGACTCCCCATGTCTGGTCTTGCCGATCCAGCGCGCGCCGTTGCGGCGAAGAGTTGGCAAGATCTTCTCGAGCACCTCGCTGATGAACCGCGGCTCGAAGTCCGTTGGCGCGAGCGCCCAGACAGTGAGGCGTTTGGCATTGATGCGCCCGCTCGCATGGTTCCGCAGCGCCTGGATCACGCGGGGCCCCTCCCAACCGTAGCCGCTTAGCTAGCCGCAACTGCTCGGCGGCCAAAGCGCCCGCGCGACCGAGGGGGGCGCGGGGGGGGGGTGGGTCGCTAAGGGGCTAGCCAGATGGCGCCGCGCTCCCCCGCCGAACCGTCCTTGTCCGCGAACTCGCGAACTCCATGAACTGGTTGCGGTTGTTGCTCTTCGGGCCCTTCTTCTCGATGTACCGGTGCCCCTCGAGCTTCTTACCCCGCTCGGTCGAGCGCGTGGAAGGCTTCGCAGTGGCTGTCAGCGCGGAGAAGCGAACCTGGTAGCCGCCAGCTTTCTCCAGGGGGTAACAGATCGCATTGCGGCCTGCCCTATGCTGCCTCCTATGCTGGTGCACGACGCCTGTGCCATGACGCATTGGCTCGCAGTTTGCCATCTTCAAGAACTGGCCCTTCAAGTCAACGTCTTTGAAGATGTGCACCTTGCCCTCCCCGGCGCCAGCGACGAAAATCTGCGTGGCGCATGGCCCGCCAGGTTGGCTCTTGAGGTTGAACGGTGGAGGGGGGCCGCTGAAATTGGACTTCGTCGCAAGGTCCTTGACTATGTCCAAGCGGCACGGTTGCCCTTGTGCGCCCATCCACCCCATGAGGACACCGATTGCTTTCCCGTCGGGGCCCTGGATCTCCTCGTAGTCCTGGTTCACCAACAGGTCCCCAAACTAGGTGTTTTTCGTGCCCGCATGGGCGTTCACGGGCGCAGCAGGAAGGTCCGCGATTTTTGACGCCCCCTCTTGCCCGACGTGGCCGCGCGGGAGGCCAGCTTGGAAGTGGAGCTTCATGCCGTCGGTCGGCGCGCGCGAGAGCTTCGCCGACGTTTTTGCTCTCGTCCCCAACGGCGCCCTCAAGAGTCTTGCGGAGGGTGTTGGGGCGGGTCGCGTTCTCCCTGGCCATGGCAGTCGCGAGAGCGAAGCGTAGGCGCGAAAGGCGCGTGCGATGAAACAGCTTGAGCGGATCGAGCGCTACGGAACTTCGCGGAGGGAATGTGGGTGGGGGCTTCATAACATGCGGCCCCTTCAAAACAACATCTCGGCGTCGGCTCCCTGTTGGATGGCAAGGGGCATCCCGTGTTAGGATGCCCTTGTATTTGATGGGCGCTACTATCTTATGTATAATTTGGGCAGGGCTGAGCTGTTCCACATGTGGCCGAGGCCGAAGGGGCATCACATCTTGCGAATGCTTGAACTCAGGATACATAAGAGAGCCACGAGGGAGGCATGAGGGGGCCATGAGGGGGCCGCGAGGAAGCCGCGATGGAGCCATGAGGGAGCCATGAGGGAGCCATGAGGGAGCCATGAGGGAGCCACGAGGGAGCCGCGAGGGAGCCACGAGGGAGACATGAGGGAGCCATGAGGGAGAGACGCGGGCGACATGAGGGAGCCATGAGGGAGCCATGAGGGAGCCATGAGGGAGCCGTAAAGGGAGCCATGAGGAAGCCGCGAGGGGTCTATGAGGCAGCCGTGAGGGAGCCACGAGGGCGCCATGGGGAAGCCACGAGGGAGCCATGAGAGAGCCATGAGGGACCCATGAGGGAGCCGCGCAGGAATCCGCGCAAGCAGACGCGGAGGAAGAGGAGGCGGAAGTGGGGGAGGCGGAGGCTGATGATGCGTCTTCTTGCCGGCGCAACCCAAACGCAATATCGCAAAACGCACAATTGCAATGCCATGTTTCGAATGGATTTCGCGTCTCACTCACGGGAAGGCACAGGGGCAGGAGCAGGGGGGGGGGGGGCAAAAGCAGGTCCAGGATCAGGGGAAGGAGGAAGAGGGGGGGAGGCAGCGGCAAACATTGTTTCACAAACGGAAGCAATGATCCTTTTCAAGTTGGCGTTCCCGCGGCTAGAGAGTGAACCTTTTCAAGTTCGCCCTCCAGCGCTTGCGCAAGCGGGGCAAGCGGGAACGATGACCTTTTCAAGTTCCTGTTCCCGCGGCTAGAGAGCGAACGTTTTCAAGTTCGCCCCCCGGCGCAGGCGCGAGCGGGACCGAGGACCTTTTCAAGTTTCCGTTCCCGCGGCAAGGGAGTGAACCTTTTTTTCAAGTTCGCCCTCCGGCCCAAGCACGAGCGGGAACGAGAACCTTCTCAAGTTCCTTTTCCCGCGGCTAGAGAGTGAGCGTTTTCAAGTTCATCCGCCGGCTCGAGCGCGAGAGGGAACGAGAACCTTTTCAAGTTTCCGCTCCCGCGGCTAGAGAGTGAACCTTCTCGAGTTCGCCCTCCAGCCCAAGCGCGAGCGGGAGCGAAAACCTGTTCAAGTTCCTTTCCCGCGGCTAGAGAGCGACCCTTTTCAAGTTCACCTTCCAGCGCAAGCGCAAGCGGGAACGAGGACCTTTTCAAGTTCCCGTTCTCGCGGCTAGAGAATGAAGCTGTTCAAGTTCACCCTCCAGGCCAAGCGCAGGCGGGAAACGGAGCCTTTTCAGGTTCCCGTTCCCGCGGCTAGAGAATGAACCTTTTCAAGTTCACCCTCCAGTCCAATCGCAAGCGGGAGCGCGAACCTATTCAAGTTCCCTTCCCCGCGGATGGGAGCGTTTGGGAGCGGCTGGAGGACCACGCGCGCAGCATCGCGCCCTCCTCCTCCTCCTCCTCCTCCTCCTCCTGATCAGAATCCCATTTGGGCGCAGAACCAAAGAAAGCCATTGGGACAACCCAAACAGCACATACATTTATACAAGCAAAACGAAGCAATACAAGTTATGTTTCGCAGGGGTTCGCGTCGCTGTCTGTACTCCCCCAGAACATGTTTTGTTTGGGTTGTCCCAATGGTCCGTTGTTTTCTTGGGAAGCCGAGAGAACAAAGGAAGGATGGGGGAGGAGCAGGATGAAGAGGGAGGAGGAGGGATGAGGAAGAGAGAGAGAGATATATATATATATATATATAAAGAAAGAGAAAGAGAGAGAGAGAGAGAGAGAGAGAGAGAGAAAAAGAGAGAGAGAAAGAGAGAGAGAGAGAGAGAGAAGGAGAGACGGAAAGAGGATATAACGAAAGAGAGGGAACTTGAACAACGTAAAAACGCGAGGTGCCGCTATGCCCCCCAACCCCCCTTGGGCACCCTGCCCCCAGACGCCCCCGACGATCCGGGGCTCGCGTGACCAGGGTCTGCGCTAATGGGCGCCTCTTTCTCCACCTCCTCCTCCTCGTGCCTCAGAGCTGGTCACGGGTCACGAGGCCAGCGTGCGTCCAGGTGTTCCTGCAGATGGCCCTGGCCGCGCGCGACGCGGGGGGCAGAGTCGCCCTCCGCGACAAGGATGCGCGGGCCGCGATCTACGCCATGATCGAGCCGATGCCCGTGGAGGAGCCCACGTTTCTGGGTCGCGGTTGCCGCGCGTCGCATTGTTGGAAGGGGAATCAGGCGAATATCATGATCGCTATCAGCGATCCCAGCATCGAGCACTGCTTACTTCGGTGCGCCGAGCAGCTCGGCGCGGATATCAACCCTGGCCCAGCTCCTCGCGGACGCCGGGGGCGCCTTCGCCAGCTGGCGCTGGATCCGCTGTCGTGACGGACCAGAGCCTCCTCGCGGCGCGGCCCGTGTCCGTGGAGGCTCCCGTGCCGCTCTTATCGTCCGGCTCAGGGGGCGCCGTGTCTGTCGCGGTGCACCGCGGCATGACGGGGGAGGACGCGGCCATGCCCGAGGCGGTGAGCGCCCGAGGCGAGAGGAACGAGCCATGCTCCCCCGCGCCAGGCGCGGGCGTTCGCGCGCGCGCCCGCCCCTGGCAGCCAGTTGCCAGTTCGTCCGAGGCCGGTCTGCCTGGGGCCGCGCGCGCGCCCGCGGGGCGCGGGCGACCAGGGGCCCGCGTGCAGCACGCCAGCATGCAACGTAGTTCAGTCTAACCGAGCGACTTAGACTTCTCGAGTCTCACCGCATATGGTAGAGCGAAGTTAACTCGGGCCCCCCAGGGAGGGCACGCCATTTTTATATCGTCCGCGCGCGCACTGCAGGTCGCACGTCTCGAATCATGTCTTTGATGTGTTCCAGTGGTGGACTCTCGGCCCGAGGCCCGATGCAGCGACCTCCTCCTCCTCCTCCTCCTCCTCCTCCTCCTCCTCCTCCTCCTCTTCCTCCACCTCCATTATCCTCCTCCTTCTCCTCCTCCTCCTCCTCCTCTTTCTCCTCCTCCCCCTTCCCCCTCCCCTTCCCTTCTCGTCGTCCTCCTCCTCCTCGTCCTCCTCATCCTCCTCCACCGTCCTCCTCCTCCTCCCCTTTTTCCTCCGCCTCCCTCTCCTCCTCCTCCTCCTCCTCCTCCTCCTCCTCCTCCCATCCTCCGCCCTCCTCCTCCTGCTCCCCCTCCTCGTCCTCGTCCTCCTCCTCCTCCTCCTCCTCCTCCTCCTGTTCCCCTTCCCCTTCCTCCTCCTCCTACTCCTCCTCCTCCTCCTCCTTTTCCTCTTTCTCCTCCCCCCCGTGCCGATGTTATTCATTGCCCCGTGCCAGATTTTTCGAGGACGCACGGGGGGCCATTAAGGGCGCCCGCGCGCCCGATGATCACCTCAGATTTGCCGGCAAGAGGGCGAACCGCGGGGCGACATTGACAGGACTACCACCGCATAGCGTCCGCCCCATGGCCTCGACTTGTCGCCGGGGAGCCCCACCCCCGTCTGCCGCAGGTCAGCCGAGGCGGCATGTCGTCAGCGGTGGGGCCCCAAGGGCTGCGCCCGGCTGGCCCATGTTCTTCTTGCCCTCCCTTCCCCGTCCGTGGCAACCCTGGGCTGCTCGCACCTCGCAGCCCCTCGCGGGTCACCCCTCTCCCGCCCCTTGCTTCGCGCGCCCTCCCCTCTACGCTCGTGCTCCCAGTAGGAGAAGGGTATTATCGCCAGTACTCCTTGCCAGGACTTCGGACTGAGGGCGCGCTTCCAACTGGCCCGCGGTCCGTTGCTTCGGCCTGGCCGACTTAACGAGGAAGGCAGGAGTTCGGGTGTCTGCCTGCCACGCACTTTTAGGCTATCGCAGCGCCCCTTCCAATTAGCCTGCGTTGCGCTCCAGTGGAACGCAGGGCGGGGCCCAGCCCGGGCTGCTTATTAGCACCAGTACTCCTTGCCGGGACTGCGGGTTAAGGGCGCACTCCCAAATTGCCGCGGCCCGTTCGTTCGGCTTGGCCGACTCAACAAGGAAGGGGAGTTCGGGCGACAGCTTGCCGTGCTCATTCAGGCATGCGCAGTGCGATTGCCAGTTCAGCCTGCGCTGCCTCCCCCCCCCTTTCACACGCCAGTGCAGCCGCCATTCATTGCCAGAGCCCGACTCCCTTCAAAATATGTGGTCGCGTCCGTAGTAAGTTCGGGCCCTTCTGCGGGGGTGGTAAGGCCATGTGGGCAGTTTCGTATCGCCGGTGCTCCTTGCCAGGGCAGCGGGCTAAGGCCGCGCTCCCAGCTAGCCCGCGGCCCGTTGTTTCGGCCTGGCCGACTCAACGGGCGAGGTCGGAGTTCGGGCCAGCCTGCCGGCGGCGCGGTCACCAACGCGCGGGGGGGGGCCGCCCTGATGCGGCCCACCCCTGTCTAGGCCTCCTAGATGGGGTCGGAGTAGATGGGGTCGACGGATCATTCCGCATCGCCGATGCATCGGCGATGCGGCTCGATGTGGAGCCCGTTGTGCTTCACGTCGACGTCGCCGATGCATCGCCCACGTCGACGATGCATCGCCGGTGCATCGCCACTACATCGCCGATGCATCGCCGATGTATCGGCGATGCGGCGCGATCCTCCGACCCCATCTACTCCGACCCCATCTAGGAGGCCTCTACCCTGGGCGTCGGCAGCCAAGCGCTATCGAGCTAGCGGGGGCGGAGGTGAACTTCTGGAAGTCCAGGTGCCCGACGCGCGCCCCGAGCTCTTGCAGGCCAAGCAGGAGCTGGGCGCCTCGCGGCTGTCGAGCTCCCATGCCCTCCAGCCCAAGGGCCAGGCAGCGCGGCGGCGCGAGCAGATCCACTCGGCTCGGGGCGTGATCGCGATGAAAAAGGCGGCACCCATCGAAACAGAGGCGCAGATCGATCGTCCGATCGAGTCCTACTGCCAGCAGGCAGACGACGTCAGTGCCTGGATTGCCGCTCGCTTTCCTGGCTGTTTCTTCAGTGATCCTCGTCCTTCTTCTCCTCCTCCTCCTCCTCGTCCTCGTCCTCCTCCTCCTCCTCTTCCTCCTCTTCCTCCCCGATCTCCCCCTCCTCCTCCCTCCTTCTCCTGCTCCTCCTCCTCCTCCTCGTCTTCTTTTGGACGGCATCGTCATTATCGTCCTCATCGCCATCATCGCCATCATCACCATCATCGTCTCCACCAGATAACCTAACCCTGTCGGGTGCGCGCGGGCATATACGCGGGGCTGCCCAATGCGAAATGGTTAGGTTATCGGCCAGCCCCTCCCCCCCCTGGCGGATAACCCGGGCTATCGCCGAACAGTGAAATGGGCTGATTCCCTCTGTTCCGCCATCCAATGACCCGGGCTTGGGAGCTATTGAGCGGCTGGCCTTGCTTCGCGACGGGGCCTTGGTGCCGACCGATGTTTTTGCTGACCCGGGTGAGTGCGTGCCCGACTGCTGGCGTGAAGTCCATGTGTCACGATGCCAACCACATCCGCGTGCCATATATGGCCCGCCCCCCCCCCCCTAGGCTCAAGGTTGAGGTATATGTTTTGTCCCTCCGCCACGCAGAGCGGAGCGACACGGTATCCTCTCGCAGGGTATGGCGTGTCGCCGCGGCCACCGCCGCGACACGCTGAGCAACAACTCCTGACCCTAACCATCTGGGGCCCAGATGTCGAGGGTCAGGCCGCCCCCTTGTCCTCGCCCTTCTCCGTTTCTCCTCCTGTCTCCTCCCTCTTCAACCATGCGCGAATCGCTTAGCCCCCATATTACATGAATCGCCTTTCAACGGGGTTGTGGCCGAAGCTGCTCAGCGAGGCTGAGCGTGCTCAACGGGCAACTTAGTTTTCATTAACCGACTACGTCGAATCGCTCGTTCTCCGAATCGTTCTCTCTTCTCCCTCCTCTCCCCCAGGGGCCAGGTTCGCTGGAGCTTCGACCAGCGTCGGCAGCGCCTTGAGAGTGGCCCGATGGGGCAGTTGCGCTCTCATCCTTCTCCTCCACCAGATCTCATCCTCCCCCTCCTCCTCCCCTTCCTCATCCTGCTCCAGCTGCTCCTGCTCCTCCTGCTCCTCCTGTTCCTCGTCCTTCTCTTCTTCCTCCTCCTGCTCCTCCTCCTCCTCCTCCTCCTCCTCCTCCTCCTCCTCCTCCTCCTCCTCCTCCTCCTCCTCCCCCAAAGTGCCCGCTTTGCGCAGGCCGGGGCCGGGCCCCACCGCTGCGCCGCCCTGCGCGCCGCGACGGCGGCCGACCTGGTGTGCAACGGCGCGAGCCTGGAGCGCAGCAGTTTTCTTTTTTATTTTCCCTCCAGGAGGAGGAGTAGGAGGAGGAGGAGGAGGGATACGAGGAGGAGTGATACGAGGAGGAGCAGGAGGAGGAGCAGAAGGAGGAGGAGGCGAAGGAGGAAGAGGAGGAGGAAGAGGAGGAGGAGGAGGAGGAGGAGGAGGAGAAAGAGGATCCCCCTTGATCGTCAGAGGAGGACGAGATACCCACACCGCTACCTTTTCTTCGGTCTCCTCTTTTTTGGGGCCTCCTGGGAGGCCTTTGTCTCCACCGCTGGATTCGCCTCGGAATTCTGGTCAGAACGCACCCCGGTAGTGGGCCGTGGAGTAGCCGTATCGGTTCTTTTCTGGGTTTCCCTTTATCGGGGGCAATATCGGGGGCAACGATAGGGGGGGGGGGTACGCAATCGTCCACTCATCGCCGACAGGGGCCCCCGTGCCAGTGCCCCCCTGTCGTTGCCGCTCACACTGCAGCCATGGTGAGAAAGCTCGACAGCAAGGTACGAGCCAGATCGGGCGGTACAGCTTGCAGGATCGTGCATGTCTGCGCGCTACTCGCGTGCTGTCTGCGTGTGCCCACGTGTTGTCTGCGAATTACGCATGGAGCGCAGCAAGGGAGGGATGGGAATATGGAGCCCAGACCTCCCAGAAGGGGCCGGAGCGGATGGGTCAGATGGGAGGAGGAGGGGGTCAGATGGGAGGAGGAGGAGGAGAAGGAGGAGGAGGAGGAGGAGGAGGAGGAGGAGGAGGAGGACGGGGAAGGGGAAGTCTGACCATGGAACCGCGAGAGCGCCCACCCAGACAAGTCGACTGGGGAAATCTGCATTGGTTCACTCGGCATTAGCATTGCTGTGTGCAGGGGCAGTCCCCAGTCGGTTTCGCTAGCCGGCGCGCGCTTCGCCGGTCACTGTCTTTTGTTTTTGGGCGTCGACTACCTACCCCGCTGGGGCCCACTCGGGCTGCGGTGCCGAGCGCACGTGGAGGGCCCCTGGCTGTGTTCACTAACGGGCGTTCTGCTAAAGGGTGTTCTGTCAACCTTCGAGAGGTAGAGGGAGGAGGTGGAGAGTGGAGGAACGGGAGAGGCCCCGCCGCTAGTTGTGGATGTGCGGTCCAAACTGTAACGCCTGCGAAACCACTTGTCCTGGCTGGTAAGTTTGTCTTAGGTTTTTGGATACCCTGGCTTGGCCCAGAGGAGCGTGTGTCGGATGCCCCGCCCCACCCAAATTACCAGTCGGAGTGCTCTTTCCGTTCAGCCTGCAGGGCCCATGCCGACTCGATCGGTTCGCTGCGGTGTCAAGTTCGCTTGGCTCGATTTGATTCGATTTCGACTTCCTGGTGATTCGATGCGGCCCGATGCTTGCACAGCGTAGTTTCGTATCTGGGCACAGGGCATTTTGGGCGCAGGCACTTTGGCGTTCCTTCGGGGGTCTGGGATCGTTTTGGAGTGCCTTGGAACCGTGCGGGCCCCAACTGGAGCCCAGAGATATCAATATCCACTGCCCCCACATGGTCAATTTCGATCCGATCGATCCGAATCGATATCGGTTCTGATCGACTTGATCCGACTCGATTCCGATGTTCCAGCGACTTGCTGCGGCCCGATGCTTGAGTATGACGCTGTTGCTCGTCATGGTGCAGCCGATCCGATACTATTTCGGCTCCGTGCAGTTGCAGCCCGATCCGACGCACATTCGATTCGACCCGATCTCCCGATTCGATGCTTACTGATCCTGCCTCACGGCCCGGGCGGTGCACGTGTGCAAGTTCTGGCCCCGCGCAGGAGGAGGGGACGAGGGGCAGCGGAGACGGCGAGACAGACGCCACGGACGCCGACGACGACGGCGACGGCGACGACGACGACGACGACGTAGCCGATCCAAAATCGTCTCCAAATCAGTTCCCAGACGTAGACGGCGAGGACGACGACGGCGGCAGCGGAGAGGGCGACGTCCAGGAGGAGGGGGAGAGGGGCGGCGAGAATGGCGAAGGTCAGAGGAGGAAGATGTACCGATACCGCTGGCCTTGACTCGTTCTCGCCTTTTTGGGCCTCCTGGGAGGCCCTCGTCGCCACGGCTCGGTCTGCTTTGAAATTCTGGTCAGAGCGCACCCCAGCAGGGCTCTTTTCGACTTCTCCAATTCGATTTGATTCGACTTCGATGGCTTCCGATTCCAATTCAATTCGACTTCCGATTCCGATTTGGATTCCGATTCCTTACTGGAGGCATATTAGCCTGTCGATTTCCGCCGATTCGACTTCTCTGGACTCGGCTGTCGATTTCTGCCGATCCGATTAATTTCGAACGCCGATCCGACTCATCGATTCGATTCTGGGCTCTCCTGCCCCAGGAGAGGTCCGCGAAGTAGCGAGCGGCAGCGGTAGGCTTCTGTTCCCCCAGGGGGTGCCGTGGAGAGGGCGGCGTGCGCCAGGGTCGTGCTGTGCCGGCGCGGAGGGCGACACCTGCGCTGGCGTTCGAGGTTGGGCGCTGCCAGTGGCCCAGACTCGGCCAGCATCGAATGCCTTTTGTCGTCTGCATGTAAGAGTGGCCTTTCGCCGGATTGCCCTCTGTCGAGCCAAGATTATTTGATCTAGATCCACTGCGTCTTGGAGTTTCGGGCTTTCTTCCTCTGAGACGAGAGACGCCGTGGATATGGCTAAAACAATTTCGCCCCTAGAGGTTCGGTTTTTATCCATGTCCACTGCGTCGCGACCTGTTGGCGCCCCTTCCCAGAACATCCAAGACGCAGTGGATATGGATATACATCGTGCCCGCACTTCTGTCGACTACACGTAAGAGTGACCTTTCGCCGGAGGGCCCTTTGGTGTGGGCACATTGGGATCCTCCGATCGCCGAGCGCGATGCGATAGTAGCGTCTTGCGCGTCTTGATTTTGGCCCCACCCGCGGCCCCCCCAACGCCGCGCACCGAAGAGCACTCTTGCCTGGGGTCACTCTTGCGTGTAGCCGATTCTACGATCGGGACGCTGCGATCGCTCAGAGCTGAGCGCTCCACGCGGCGTCAGAAAGCAGCGCCGACGTCGCCACTGCACGAACCTGCCGTGCAGGAGAATGGGGCTTCAATGCCCGTTCACGGGAGCCTTGGGCGGCGACATTGGTATGTTTTTTCTGGCCTTGGGACCGCATTAGGCCCGTTCGTCCTGCCCCTCCTCGCCCTTCGTGTCGCTGCTTCCCCTCCTCGCTCTCCTCGTCTCCCTTGCGAAGGGGCGAATCGGGGCCAGATCCGGTTCGAATCTGGTTCCAAACGTGTTCCAAATCTGGTCCAAATCCGTGTTCCAAATCCGGCCCCAAAGGTGTTCCAAATCTGGCCCCAAGTGTGCTCCAACTCCAGTCCACATCAGTCCTGCATGGGACAGCGCCGGGGGGCCACACAGGCTCCCATGGAACGGACACGGCTCGATGTGGCGTCCGATCTTCCCTCCCCGCCGACGACGCCGATGCATCGCCGACGTCGCCGATGCGTCGCCGATGCGTCGCCGATGCGTCGCGGATGCGTCGCCTGTCCATCGGCCATCGGCAAAGCGTCGGCGGTGCGGCGTGATCCTCCGACCCCGCCTGCTCGGACCCCACCCGGGAGGCGGCCTCTGGTGCAGGAGGAGGGGGTGAGGGGGGGCCAGCGGAGGGGGCGGCCGCGGCGGCACGCGCCGTGGAGGCGCTGGATCTCAGCGGGCGGCGCGACGAGGCGCCCCCGAGCGCGCGCGCCGCCGCCGCCGCCCCCAGGGAGCTCCAGGAGCGCCCCCAGAGGCGCCCACGATCACCCCTCGGAGTGCGCCAAGGCCCCCCCGGAAGGGCCCCGAGAGGGCCCCGAGAGGGCCCCAACAGGCTTCCAACATGGCGCCAGGATGGCTCCAAGGGGCCTCCAAGGAAGCTTCCAGCAGGCTTCCCAAAGGCTTGTGGAGCGAAAGATCCGAGATGGCCTTCATGGTTGACTTTTCGCCGTCGCCGTCGTCGTCTTCATCGTCGTCGTCGTCGTCGTCGTCGGCGTCGGCGTCGGCGGCGGGGGCGGCGTCGTCGCCGTCGCCGTCGTCGTCTGTCTTGACCTCTGCATCGTCCCTCTGGTGCGTGCGGGGTGTTCGAAGACCGGTCAGCTGCGTGCGGCCAGGTCGCACTCGTCGTCGTGTCATAGGTGGGCGAAGGGCGCACGGAGGCACCAATGGCTCCATCGTCGACGCAGCGCATGGGGCCACCTTGCACCCTAGTCACAGCGTGGACGCCCGTGTTTCGACGCAATACCCACCGTGCTCGGATGTTGGTTCGGCACGTGCTGGTGCACGTCTTGGCGGACGTACCGCGCCAAACCTACGTTTTTTCGGTGCACGTGTTGAGCTACGGGTCAACACGGTACACGTCGGTCGTTGAGAGCAGGTGTCTTTGGAGATCCAGATCCCCATCTGCTTCAGGCGCCTTCCTGCTTCCAGAGTCGAGCGGTTGTCCCTCCTCCCTCCTCTTCAGGGGGCGGGCGGGAACCCAATCGGCTGTCAACGCCTTCCTGCTTCGTGGTTCTGCCCGCTTCTTCAGACCGGCGGGCCCGTGCTGCGTGCGCATCGGGGCAGCCAAGCGGCGCAGGGTCCCGTGCTTTCCCGCAGGGCGCCCTCTGGCGGTGCCTGCGCCCTCGGCGCCCCTCGCCCTCCGCGGGAAGGACGGCGGTGGCGGGCTCGCCGGCGGAAACCAGCGGAGGTTGGCGGAATGTGGTCGAATCGGCATGGGGGGAACGGGGCCTGAGGGGAACGGGTCCCGAGGTCTTTCTCGAAGAAGCAGAAACGGCACAACCATACTCTGTTTTGGCGCTCCGCGCGGATTTTTTGGATCCGCGCCGGACCCCCAATGGGGGCGCCGGAGGCGCCGCCCCTGGCGCGCTCCGCGCGCCAGAGAGGGGGGTCCGGCGCGGATCCAAGAAATCCGCGCGGAGCGCCAAAAGTGTATGTTTATGCTGGTTTTACTTCGTCTAGGGAACGTGTCCTGAGGTTTTTCACCGTTTGCAGGATCTCCGGGCCTTCCACGGACCCCAGGACTATCATAATGCGACTCAGGTTGAGAAGCTCGGCCTGGGGGGAGGTCCCCGGGTCCAGGATTCGTTTCCCTCAGGACTCATTGCCCCCATGCTAATCGCGGAAGGAACAACAGCAGAAGCATACGGTCGGGAACTTTTGGTTCGCGTGTCGCTCCTCGCTCCTCCGGTTCTGGCCCACCGCGCTTCGGCTCGACACGCTGCCCATTTCTGGGTCCCCAAGCGTCAACGTCACGAGCCTTTACTGGCCTCCCGCCCCGCGGAGCGGAGCGACACGTTAACCGCTCGCAAGGCATAGCGTGTCGGCGGGGCCGCCGTCCTGACACGCTATGGGAAAGCTCCCGACCGTAAACTTTCGACGGTGGGCGCGGACCTCTTGGATCTGCGCTGGACCCTTTCCCTGGCGCTTGGTCCTCGAGCATTGGCGGCGCTCCGCAAGAGCCGGATTCCACATGTGATTGCCAGATGTCTTTCCAGCGGTCGGCCCTTCGTGCCCGGGTGCGCAGGGTTTCCGCACGGGTATCCAGCGCGTGGCCTCCGGATCAAGATCCAAGAAATCGGCGTGGACCGTCGAGAGTTTATGCTGACGGGTTTGTTTCTTCTTGTGGTCTGGGGAGGACGCGCCTTCGCGTTGTTCGCACTTTTTTGGTGACGTGGGCACTTGGGGGATCTCGACCCCTTCAGGGACTGTTAGCTTATCACCCTGAGTCGTGCTTTGGTGCTGGGGTTGTCTTGTGGACGGCCCGTTGTTCTGAGAACGGCCCCGTCGAGGCCGAACACACGTTTAAAATCCGGCCGCACTGATTTGTTTCTGCGACGTCCAGATCTGAGGGTGCGAAGATGAGTGTAGTTCGCGGTTCGCGCTCCTCCTCCTCCTCCTCCTCCTCCTCCTTCCCTCGGGTACGTCGCCTCGTCCTCCTTCCCGAGTCGGTGCAGTAAGGGCCAGAGCGCCCGCGTAGCGCGAGCGACCTCCCACAAAGTGAACACAGCAAGGCAACATAAGCGTCAACACCAGCATTTCTCAGCGCGATGCCGCACTAGTGTCAGAGCAGTAGCCCCGAACTGGCCCGAATGCTCGATCGACCGATCCTACCCCCCGTTCTTCCTGAGCCTCCTCCTCCTCCCCCTCCTCCTCCTCCTCCTCCTCCTCCTCCTCCTCCTCCCCCTCCTCGGGTTCTTTACGCCCGTCTCCTCCTCCTTCTTCTCCTCCTCCTCCTTCTCCTCATCCTCATCCGCTTGGGAGCCGAGCAGCTCGCAGCGGCAGCGGGGCGCTCGAGGTCCCACAGGGGCCGCTCTGGCTCGGCAGCCGCTTTCCGCCCTCGTGGAGATCGCCGCCGAGGAGGTGGGAGGGGCAGTCAGCAGCCGCAGCAGCAGCAGCAGCAGCAGCAGCAGCAGCAGCAGCAGCAGCAGCAGCAGCAGCAGCAGCGGCAGCAGCAGCACCGCGGGGCCCACGGCTAGGAAATGGAGGAGGGAACCTTGCTAGGTGCTGGGGAGATCGTCAAGTCTTATGGGATTCCAGTGGACACGTTGGACAAGGTGCCAGCCATGGATGCCCAGATGGGCGCCAAGTTGTTTCCAGTCGTGATGAGAGCCGTGCTGGGCAATTCTTTCACGCTGAGGATGCTCATGGCGGTGGAGTTCGTGACGGTGACGATGCCATGAGGGAGCGATTTGGTTCAAGCAGGCTTTCAGGCAGGGCGAGCGTACGCTACAGAGGCCGCGACGATGAGAGCCGACCATCAGGCCGACCCGAACGACATGGTGCTGCAAGTGGTGGGCGATGGGCCCAGCGTGCGTGCAGGTTTGTCTGTTGGTGGCGAAGAAGGTGTCAGACGGGGGCGACAAGGTCGGCCTGGCCAACGCGAGGTCCTGGCAGGTTCACTAGATCAAGCTCCGTGGCATGAGCGCGATCGCCGACCTGACTATGCTGGTCAATGGGTTCCATGTGTCTAGCGCGTTCAAAGAGGGACTCGCCAAGATGGCCTTCAGTCTGGCCGGCAACCTCAGATGGCTCGTGCGTTCCAAAAGTGCGTTGCGCAACTCGGCGGGAAGGTTCGTCCAGGCATGGCTCCGAGGTCGGTCTTTTAGGTCGCGTTCGACGAGGTCGAGGTGTAGTGGCGCCTGGCTCGGCAGAGGTGAATTCTGATTTTCTGCAGCAGGGTGGAGAGGGCATTGTGTGTGGTCAGTGTGGTGTTGTTGATGCTGCGGGTTTTTGGGAACACGATGTCCAGGATCAGGTGGGTATCGTTCGTCGTGACGATGTGCAATATTTTTCAGCTGCTGCATCACCTATCTCTTCGGAGCTTAACGATGGAAAGAGCCTCCCTGGAGTCGACATCGGGATTTAACTAACGCCGAGTGCAAGTACTTCGTGTGCACCGCAGTTGGCGAGGTCGGGATCGTTGGTTGCCAGGTCTCCATCGGCGGCCAGGACTTATTCGGGGGTGCCGAGTCGGAGACTGTCCTTGCCGGCGGGCGTCGCAGAGGGCCAGGTCAGCTTTGCAGAGACGGGCGATTTGGAGGCAGACGACCTTGTCGGCGAGAGTTGCTGGGTCGACTAACCTTGGGGGTCTCGTGGCACCAGCCTTCAGGAGGCCGCCCGTTGTGCTGATGACACCGTAGTCCTCTCTTCTCCTCTTCGTTCGAAGCCTCGTTCCCGCCTTCGCCCCCGCCTTCACTACTCACTAGACTCCGCCCCACAGGCATCGTCAGAACAGCAATCGCCACTTTTGCCCATTGCTGCCCCCCCAAACTTCCTTATCACCCGCAGGGTGGTCGTATAGGTATAGGTATATATATATATATACACCTGTACGACCCCCCTTCGGGTGATAAGGAGGTTCGGAGGGGGAGGAACCAACGTCTCACTCGATCGGTCCCACTATCGATCTCAATGTCGATCGGTCTCGCTCAGTCCATCTCACTCGATCGATCTCACAATCGATCTTTCTTGATCTATTTCATTCGATCGATCTCACAATCAATCGATCTGACGATCGATCTCACAATCGATATCACTATCGATCTCACTATTGATCTCACATTCGGTATCACGATCGATATCGCTATCGATATCGCAACCGATCTCACAGCCAACGTCATCATCATCATCATCATCAACATCATCGTCTTCGCGTCATCAACATCATCATCATCGGGGCAACATCACCATCATATTCACCTCATCATCATCATCAGCATCACCAACATCCCCTCGTCATCATCATCGGGACACCATCATCGTCACCGTCATCATCAACATCATCGTCGGGACACCATCATCATCATCATCATCATCGGAACACCACCATCATCATCATCATCATCATCATCATCATCATCATCATCATCTCGCCACCATGAACAACAGCATCAACATCATCATAATCGGGGCACCATCATCATCATCAGCAAATCCATCATCACCGTCATCATCATCGGGGCACCATCCTCATCGTCACCATCATCACCATTGTAATCAACATCATCATCGGAACACCATTATCATCATCGGGTCACCATCATCAAAATCATCATTATCACCCCATCATCATCCACAACATCACCAACATCATCAGCATCATCGGGACACCATCATCGTCATCATCATCAACCGCATCACCATCGGGATACCATCATTACCACCACCATCATCATCATCAACATCATTATCAGCAACCCCATCATCACCATCATCATCGGGACACCATCATCATCACCTTCATGATCATCATCATTAATATCATCTCATCATGTCGTCATCATTAACACCATCAGGGTCATCAACATCATCATCATCATCATCGGGATGCCATTATCATTACCAGCAGCATTATCATCATCATTCACATCATCATCATCATCATCATCATCATTGGGACACCATCATCATCACCACCTTGGCCACCAGCATTACCATCATCATCATCATCATGACCAACATGGTCAACATCATCATCACCATCATCATCACCATCATCATCATCACCATCATCGGGACAGTATCATCGTCACCACCATCCCCATCATCATTACCAACATCATCGGCATCTTCATCATCAGCATCGGGACACCGACGGGACTCCGGCGGGACACCGGCGGGACACCGCGCGGCACCGGACGCCGGGAGGGAGTCATTCGGTCCAGCCGCGCCTCAGCCACAGCGGGACACCGGCGGGACACCGCGCCGCACGGGTTGCTGGAAGGGAGTCGTTTGGTCTGGCCGCGCCTCAGCCACAGGAGACTTTCTTCTCGCCCGCCCACGCAGCTTCGCCTCGCCCGCACGCACGGCACGCTCGAACACGAAACCGAAACCGATTTCCCGTTAGAGGGGCTCTCCGTTCCACTTCGATCTCACCCCCCCACCTCCGATATACACCTATACGACCACCCTGCGGATGATAAGGAGGTTGGGGGGGGAAGGGGGGCCAGCAATGGGCAACAGCGGTGATTGTTGCGTTGCCGCTCGCTCTTGGGACCATCGATCCCACTATCGATATCACTCCATCGATCTCACTATCGATATCACTCGATCGATTTCACTGTCGATATCACTCTGGATCTCGCTATCGATCCCACTGTCGATATCCCTATCGATATCACTCGATAGCACAATCGATATTACTATTCATTTCGCGATCGATTTCGTTATCGATCTCACGATCGATCTCACTTTCGGTCTCACGATCGATCTCACTATCGATTCCACAATCGATTTCGTCATCGGTCTCACTATCGTTTTCGCACCAGCGGGACCCGGGACACTGGCGGGACACCGGCGGGACACCGCGGGCCACCGTTTGCCGGAGGGAAAATCATATTGTCCGGCCGGGACCCAGCGACAAGCGGGACACCGGCGGGCCACCGCGGGCCACCGCTAGCCGGAGGGAAAATCATGTGGTCCGGCCGCGCTTCAGCCACAGGAGACTTTCCTCTCGCCCGCCCACGCAGCTTCGCCTCGCCCGCACGCGCGGCACGCACGAGCACGAAACCGAAACCGATTTCCCGGTGGGTGGCTCTCCGTTCCAGTTCGATATCACCCCCCAACCTTCATATATATATATATATATATAAACATGCATACCTGTACGACCACCCTTCTGGTGATAAGAAGGTTCGGGGGAGGAACTAACGTCTCACTCGATCGGTCTCACTATCGACCTCACTATCGATATCACTATCGGTCTCGTTCGATCGAACTCACGCGATCGATATCACAATTGATCTCGCTCGATCTATCTCATTCGATCGATTATACAATCGATCTGACGATCGATCGCACAATCGATATCACTATCGATATCACAATCGATCTCACAATCGATCTCACATTCGGTCTCACTATCGATTCCCCTTATCGGTACCACAATCGATTTCACAATCAACGTCATCATCCTCATCATCAACATCATCGTCACCAGTGTCATCATCATCATCATCATATCATCATCGAGACACCATCATCATCACCTCATCACCATCATCATCAACATCACCATCTTCATCATCGGGACACCACCATCGTCACCGTCATCATCATCAACAAAATCATCACCGGGTCACCATCATCATCACCATCGCAACGTCACCGTCATAATCATCATTTCATTTTCATCATCATGAACGACATCATCATCATCGGGACTCCATCACCATGATCAGCAGCATCATCATCAACATCATCATCATCGGGACACCATCATCACCATCATCGTCATCATCGGGACCCCATCATCATCATCAACATCAGCATCATCATCATCATCATCGGACCACCATCATCAAAATCAGTATCATCACCTCATCATCCTCATCATCATCATCATCTGGACACCATCATCGTCATCATCATCAACATCATCATCATCGGGACACTATCATCATCATCTCCAGCATCATCATCAACAGCAGCATCATCAACCTCAGCATCACCATCATCATCGGGACAACATCATCATCATCATCAGCAGCTTCATCATCACCCAATCATCTCATTATTATTATCAACATCATCAGGGTCATCAACATCATCATCATCATCATCATCATCACCTGGACGCCATCATCATCAGCAACATCAGCATCATCAGCATCATCATCATCGTCATCATCGGGGCATCATCATCGCCACCATGGCCATCATCACCACCATGATCATCATCACCAACATCGTCAACATCATCATCATCATCATCATCATCATCTTCATCATCATCCGGACACAGCCATCACCATCACCATCACCATCACCATCACCATTATCATTATCCACATCTTCGACATCATCATCATCAACATCATCATCATCATCATCAACAACATCGGGACACGGACGGGACACCGGCGGGACACCAGCGGGACACCGCGCGGCACTGGACGCCGGAAGGGAGTCATTTGGTCCAGCCGCGCCTGAGGTACAGCGGGACACCGGCGGGACACCGCGGGCCACCGTTTGCCGGAAGCGAGTCATTTGGTCCTGCCGCGCCTCAGCCACAGGAGACTTTGCTCTCGCCCGCCCACGCAGCTTCGCCTCGCCCGCACGCACGGCACGCACGAACACGAAACCGAAACCGATTTCTTGGTGGGGGGGTTCTCCGTTCCATTTCGATCTCACCCCCTCACCTCCGATATATACATGTGTATGTATGTATGTATGTATGTATGTATGTATGTATGTATGTATGTATGTATGTATGTATGTATGTATGTATATGTATATATATACATATCTATTTATATATGTATTTAGATGTCTATATATATGTTGCCAGCAATCACTATTGGGGTCCAAGCTGGTCATCGCGAAGGCCCTTGCAGGGGGTGAACGGGGGTCATCGGACGCGAATGCTCGATATGCATGTGACCGTAGTTCTCCCAGCGCCCCTTTCCCTCCAGGGTGGGGGTGGGTCTTGCCCATCAAGCCAGATGGGCAGGAGGAAACTGCCCCCATCCCAAACGAGGGGGGCGTATGCCCGCCGTCGGGGCCAAGGTTTCCTTGGTCCGGGTGGGGACGGTCTTCCTGCTGCTGGGGATGATGAAGGTGATGATGCTGCGCATGATGATGGTGTTGATGATGACGATGATGATGGTGATGATGGTGCTGATGCTGTTGATGATGATGCTGATCACGATGATGATGCTAATGATGCTGCTGTTGGTGCTGATGATGCTTGCGATGATGATGCTTGCGATGATGATGATGATGATGATGATGATGATGATGCTGTTGGTGATGATGATACTGGTGATGGTGATGGTGATGGTGATGGTGATGTTGTTGTTGTTGTTGTCGTTGTTGTTGCCCTTGTTGGTGTTGGTGGTCATGGGATGTTCGCTGCAGTTGCTATTCCGACGTAACAGTATTGAGCAGTGACGTGTGAGAGTCCGACGGGTTCGAACCTAAGGGACTCCTGTTGCTGCTGGAAGGGGCGTGGGGCGGGGTGCGCCTCAGACTTCGAGCCCCGTCGCCCCTGCGCTCGGAGAGGTCCAGATCCTGTCCGGGTGCTCGTTCTCGATCGGCAACCTGGTCGCGGACAGCAGCACCGCCACGTTCACCAGGCGCCGCGGGGTGCGGTCCAGGGGGGAGGAGGGCGAGGACGGGGAGGAATCGGAATGGGAATCGGAACAGTTGCGAAGGAACGTCCACCACCAGGAAATGACGCCAGTCTCTTAGGGCTCAAGCCTTTCATAAACCCATCCAGGTATTCTCGCCTCTGGCGAGTGATACGGTCGGGCTTGTATTCCGGATCTTGCCGGGCCATCCGCATCTATTGCAGATCCAAGCGCTGAGGAAGCGCGAATCCATGACAGAGTGAGGCTCATGCACCCACACCCCAGCCAAGCGAGCTGCCCCCCTTCTGTCGGAGGCAGAGATGGATCGCTCGAGATTCGGAATGGGGCCTCGCAGGCACTCGAGAGCCACAGGGCCCGCCCCGCCTCGGCGGAGGAATACGCGCACGTCGTGCACTGCCGACCTTCCTCGTCGAGGGTGTGCGCTGAACTACGAACGGCAACTGCGGCAGGCTTTGGGGGGAGGAGCAGGGACGGCGGGAGGGATTAACAGGTGCACCGTCTGGGGGTGAACGAAGATCAGGCTGACTGTAGGATGTTGCCATAGCGTCGAGGGTTGCCTTCACGAATTGGACCTAACCCAGCTAAATGTTAAACCACTCGGACCCGAGCTCTGCAATACCATCTGCGAAAGTACTGCCTTCAATCAGGTGGGGAGGGATGTCGTGAGATAGGTATTCGGGAGGCTCGAGCTGAGAAGGAACTTGGAGCACGCATATCTGGCACGCTGGCCTTGATTCCAATACCTTGACAATATTCCTCCAGGTTAACGCCGTCTGCACCCGCTGGCTTAAGAGAATGCTTCTCTAGCAATCCCTTGACCACTACCACCATCCCCTCCCAAACCTGATCGTGATTATAAGCGCACGCTGCTCTCCTAGCGCAATGGTCTGTTCATCGCCCGCTCGTGGTCCACATTTGCCTAGGGCCAGGATTAGAGGATCGAAACTTTGAACGGAGATAGCCGAGAGACCAACCCTCCAAAACTTGAGGTCGCTGGAATCTGGCCTCCGAAATGCGTCCCCGAACACAGGTAACGGAGCGCCCCAGGTATCCTCCCCAGGACACCCATGCCAAAGAGAACCCTCAGGAGACTCCAAGAGACTTCAAGTCATGCGTTCTGAAAACCTCGCGGGCCCTATTGGACCGATCTGTAGAGTCTTGCGGGCCGTCGTGAACGCTCGTAGGACCAGCTAGGCTGCAGCGTGTAAAGTTTACAACAATCAACTGGGTGTTGATATGTTTCACATTTGGAGCCTCCCTTGGGCTGCTCCCTCGGGCTCTGGCTGCATGAAGGGGCTCGTGGACCACCTGGAGGTAGGGAGCCTTCTAGGGCGATGTCGCCGCGCCATATCAAAACCACACAAGCTGGAATATTTAACCTGTGACGTACCCAGCCCATGTGCATCAAGTGACAAGAGGAGTCGGTCCAAACTTGCCAGTAACATGACAGTGCAGGCGCTGTTCTATATCGCGCAAGTAACATGGGATGCGCTCACGTGGTGCGATTTACAGGACAACAGCAGAAGGACGAGGAACGAGGGCCCAGGCTTGAGGAGGACATGAGGCTGGGAACGAAGGACAGGAACGCGGACGCGTAGGGTGCCAACCCGTCAGCGCGGCAGCGGCACACGGAATGTGGCAGGGGGCAGGGGACTACCACGCACGTGACGGGAGGAACCCGACGAGTGTTGCTTTTGTCGGTCATACGCTAAAGATCCAGCGCTGCCTGCGCCATGGCGCCTCGCACGACAAAATGAGTAAACCTGCTTGTAATTAGTGCAAGAAGCGAGCGAGGCCTAGCTCGCCCGCCGGTTTATTTGCTTACTTCCTGCAGTTTTTTAATGCGGGAGCTATCTGCCAGGTCTGCGGGCGGCCCGCGATAGCGCCCCGCTGGAACCTCCCAGCAACCGTCGAAAGTGGTGACGGTTTCGCAGATCGTAGACCCCCGAGGGATGGCGAGGTCTAATTTGGTTCATGGGTGGTGCCCCACTGCGCTGAACCCCCAGCAGCCTTCGAAAGTGGGAACAGTTTCGCAGATCGCAGACCCCGGGGATGGCGAGGTCTGGTCTGGTTCATGGGTGGTGCCTAATCCCGCTGTGCCCCCCAGCAGGCTTCGAAATTCTTCACGCTTCGCGCATCCTCACCAGCCCATCTCAAAACAGCAACTCTTGCGAAGCATGCCGACAGTCGTGTTTTTCAGGCGTGTGTCCGCTTGGCCCCGCATATCTCCCCTGTTCCTGCTTCCTCCCGCCTCCTTGTACATCCTCCTTGTGGGGGGAGCGGGAGAAGGACGAGGCGGAGGAGGAGGGAGAGAAAGCGCTCCTCGTGATTTGAGTCGTTTGGGGTTTCTCGTCCTGGTGTGAGTCGTTCGGGCCCTTCTTCCTGGTGTGAGTCGTTCGGGCTCTTCGTGGTGTGAGTCGTTCGGGCTCTTCGTCCTGGTGTGAGTCGTTCGGGCTTCTCGTGGTGTGAGTTGTTCGGGCCCCTCATCCTGGTGTGAGTCGTTCGGGCCCCTCCTCCTGGTGTGACTCGTTCGGGCTCCTCGTGGTGTGAGTCGTTCGGGGCCCGCGTCGTGGTGTGAGTCGTTCGGGCTCCTCGTGGTGTGAGTCGTTCGGGCGCCTCGTCCTGGTGTGATGAGTCCTGGTGTGAGTCGTTCCTCGTGGTGTGAGTCGTTCGGGCCCCTCCTTGTGGTGTGAGTCGTTCGGGCTCCTCGTGGGGCCTCTTGGGGGCCTCTTGGAGCCTCTTGGGGCCTCTTGGGGGCCTCTTGGGGGCCTCTTGGGGGCCTCTTGGGGCCTCTTGAGGCCTCTTGGGGGCCTCTTGGGGGCCTCTTGGGGGCTTCTTGGGGCCGCTTGGGGGCCTCTTGGGGGCCTCTTGGAGGCCTCTTGGGAGCGTCCTGGGGGCCTCTTGGGGCCATCTTGGGGCCTCTGGCGACCTCCTCAGAAGCGCAAATGAGAGCTGCCCCCTGAGAAGGACAACATGAGCCCAAAACCTTCGTAAAATCAATGATTTTGCTATGAAGGAAGATGAGCGCGGCCCCCTCAGGACGCCAAAATGGGGCCACAACCGTAGTAAAATCAATGGTTTTGGCTTCAAAGAAGAGGAGAGGGGCCTATCTCCGTCCCCCCGGGTAGGGGGAGGGGTAAACCCCTCCCCGAAGGGGAAGAAGGGGGGTTGAGGACAGAGCGGGCTCTCTAAACCACTCACGCCCAAAGGGCTGGTGGGATTGACGATCGTTTCGCAGATCGCACCCCCCAGGGGTGGCGAGGCCTAGTCTGAGACTGGGTGGTGCCTCACTCCGCTGACCCCCCAGCAGCCTTCGAAACTGGAAGCACGTTCGCAGATCGCAGCCCCCCAAGGGATGGCGGGGTCTAATCTGAGTTTGGGTGTTGTCTCGCTCCGTTGAACCCCCTGGCGAACTTCGAAACTGTTGACAGATTCGCAGATCGCAGCCCCCCGAGGGATGGCGAAGTCTAATTTGAGTTTGGGTGCTGCCTCACTCCGCTGAACCCCCCAGCGGGTTTCGAAAGTGGCGACAGTTTCACCCCCCCCCAAGGATGGCGAGGTCTAGTCTGGTTCATGGCTGGTGCCTCATTCTGTTGCACCTGCTAACAACCCTCGGAAGTGGTGACAGTTTCGCAGATCGCAGCCCCCCAGGGATGGCGAGGTCTCTTGGTGGTCCGCGTGAAACGTCACTTTGCTGCACCCCCCCAGCAGCCCTCGAAAGTGGGGACAGTCCCGCAGATCGCAGCCCCCCAAGGATGACGAGGCCTCCTGGTGATCCGCGGAAGACGTCATTCCACTGCACCCTCCAGCAGCCTTCCAAAGTGGTGACAGTTTCCCATGTGGCAACCCCACAGAAATGAGCAGGTAAGAGACATTGGCTGGCAGGAAAGATTGAGGTCAGAGGCAGCAGGGATGAGAGAAGAGGGGGGACGGGAACAAAAGTTCGCGACCGCAGCGCTGTTTTCCCAACGAGTACCCAGAGCAGGAGGGTTGGGAATTACTGCTTCGGTGCCAACGGCAAGTTCTGCTACGGTGACACCGCCGACAAGCAGGAACAACACCAGCATCAGGCGCGCGCTTTCGCGCGCGCTCCGGTTCGCATCGAGTTCGCGACCCGCTGGAGGGGCCGTCCACTGGCCGCAGAAGTCCCCCCCCCGAGCGCCACGATCGCCCTGCGCACCCGCCGGGGGCTCGAGGACAGCAGGGCCCGCGTGGAGCTCGGGCGAGCGCCCCCTGCAGCCGCGCTCGGCCGGCCGGTGCGGGCGCTGCCTGATGCCGCGCGCATGAGCCTCCGCTGGCGCGGCTCGTGCTCCAGGGCATTCCGCCACACACGCCTATATATATATATATATACACATATATATACATATATATACACATATATATATACATATATACATATATATATATATATATCATGCAGTTAGGTGTGTCTATATAGATGCATCGCGTGTACACATATTGCTTTATTCTGTATTCAAGTATCTATGCATGTATGCATGCATGTATGCATGCATGCATGCAGGTATGCATGTATTTATGCATGCATGTATAAACGCAAGTCCACATGTACACATTCGTGTACGTACGTACGTCTGTATGCATGCATGTATGCGTACATATGTTTACACATGTATATGTATATGCGTGTATGCACACATATACATGCATATGTAAACATATATATATATATATATAGATATGACAAAAACGCCCCCCCCGGCCCCGGGTGCCACACCTCCCCGCCACAACTCGGGGACCTCCCGGGACCGGCCCCCCGGGCGTTCTGGGGAGCCTCCACAGCGCTTCAGGAGGGCCCAAGACGACTCCCAGGAGCGCCCAGCATGCGAATGGATGGTCCAAAACGCTCCCAAGCAGCCCAACTCAGTCTTCCGACGGCTCTCGAGGCTCCCAGGTAACCTCCAAGAGACCTCAAGAGAGGTCCGAGAGGCGTCCCGGGACCGCCCGAAGAGGCCAACATCGTAGATTGTCATTGTTTTTTTTCTAATGTTTTTGGCATTCGCGTTTTCGAGCTTCCAACGGTCCAAGAGCGCCGAAGAGGCTCCCAAGACCGCCCCAAGACCACCCAAGAGACCCTCAGGACGGCCCCAAGACTGGCCAAGAAGGCTCCAAGACTGCCGAAGAGGCGCCCAGGACAGCCCCAGACTACCCCAGAACAGGCCCAAGATGGGCCCAAGAGCGGGAGCAGGAAGCTTCCAGAGACCTCCGAGAGGCCTCTGGGACCCCCCAGAGGCCCCCAACACCCCCGATCCCTGAGAGGCCCCAAAAAGACCCCGACGAGGATCCAAGACCAGCCCAAGAGAGCTGCGAGAGCCGTCCCGAGAGAGCCCAAAGAGGGTAACATCGGTGATTTCCAATGTTTTTTCTAATGTTTTTCGCTCTTCACGTTTACCCGCTTCCACCCCCCGAAGTTCGAGGATTTAGGAAAAAAAGGAATTCCCAGAATTTCCTAACAAATTTTCAAAGTGGGACTCTTACTCAGGGGGGTCCTACACATCCCCTGACATCTGGCGGGTGCCGCACCTCCCGGCTTCTCGGAGGGAGACCCCAAGACGCCGAAGGACAGCCCATGACGACCCCAAGGAGCCCCCAGAACGTAAAGAACGGCCCAACACGCTCCCGCGCAGCCCGAGACACCCTTCCGACGGCTCTCCAGGCCTCCAGGAGGCCTCCAGAACCTCCAGGGGGGTGGAACATCCCACGCCCCTGAGGGGCCCAGCTAACAAAACCCGCGAGGCACAACCAACAAACAGCGCCGAACAGCGCCGAGGAATTGGAAGAACATGGAAATCCCACAATTATCTTTCTTTTTTTTCGAAGTTTGGCCCCCAGTCTATTCTTGCACAACAGACCACAATTCTGACCCCCTCACCTCCCAGAAAAGAACCCAGGAAGCCTTTGAGGGCCCCAAATCGTTGAATACCTAAAGGAAATTAATGATTTCTGCGTTTCCGCACTTCCCCTTCTGTGCGATTCCGAGGCTTGCGCAGGGCCTCCAAGGGAGTCCCTGGACGCAAGAAGCGACCAACATGATATTACATGAGATAGCCTATCAAGCCTAGCTAGAACTTGAGCGCGCGCGAAGCGCGCGATGGTTCTAGTAACTGTATGTATGTATGTATATATATATATATACACATCTATGCATACATATATATATATATATATATATATATATATACATGTAGTATGCATATGCAGAGACCCCCTCCAGTGGGTTGTTCCTGGGCCTCATGTGGGGGGGTGGCGGTGTACACAGCACCACTGCGAGCCGACGAACCTCTGCACCGCCACCCTCCCTTGAAGCCGCAAGGAACACTCGCCCGGGGCGCTTGTGCATATCTGTTCGTGGCCCAGGCATGGGCCGCGCCCGCCGCGCCGCTGCTGCGCTCCTGGTCGCTTGGTCCCTTGCCAGCCCGGAGGGGGCGCCGGCCGGAGCGGGCGCCGCGCTCCCGCCGGCGGGTGCCCGCGCCGCGGCGCCGACCTGCCCCGACGAGCACGACGAGGATTTCGCCGGCCGGGAGCACATCCCCATCTTCGGCCAAGCGCAGAATGGGGCACATCGGGGGAGGGGGGGAGGTTCGGTAGCAAACCATGGGAGCCTGGTAGGCCCTCTCAATTCAGTCTTTAGCGTCGGTTCGCGTCGATTTGCGTCTGGGAGTCGATGGCATGGCGTCGATTTAGCGTCGGCCAGAGTCGAATCGCGTCGATATTAGCGTCGGTTTATCGTCGACTCGCGCTGGTTCGCAAGAGCCGACAACATGGTTTTTCAAGGCTCCCATGAGTTGCCACCGAAGGGAGGGGGAAGGCTTCAAAAGAAGCACCCCTGCTTCTCAGAAGGCGCGGGCCTTGTCTGTGGATGCAGGGCCGGCGCTTTCTAAGAAGCAGCCTCGTTCTAAGAAACCTTCAAGAAGCCCCCCTCCCCCTCCCCCCTTGTGCGCCCCGCCGACATCCCCATGGTTGGCATCGCCCTGTCTCGACGACGATCTTAGGGACCCCCCTTCAGCTCCTGAGGGCGCATCCCAGAGGTCGTCCTCGCCTTTCGGCTCGCCGATCCCGGGGAGAGGGATGCTGCTCGAGGCTGGCCAGAGGAGGCCCTCGTGCAGGTCGCTCGGGGGCGCGGCGCGGCGGCGGGCGCCGCCGCGGCGGCCGAGGGGTGGCGCGGGGGCCGCGGCGGAGGGGCGCCGCCGGCCGCCCCCGCGCCCCCCGGCAGCGCCGCGGAAGCCGAGCGCGCGCGGCGCGTCGCGCACGGGCTCGGCACCCGCGGCGCCTCGGTGCCATGGTGGGGGGTCGTCCGAGGAGGAGGAGGTGCTCCTGCCGCCACCTTCCGCCCGTCTTCCCCTTTCTGGGGGCCTCCTGGGAGGCGCTCTGCGCCAGCGCTGGATTCGCCTCGAAATTCCGGTCAGAACGCACCCCGACAGAGGCCCAGGGAATAGTGGCATCGGTGCTTTTCGGCTTCCCCAGTCGGGCTCCACATCGAGCGGCATCGATGGCCGATGCATCGGCGATACGGCGCACTCCTCTGATCCCATCTGCTCGGACCCCACTTGGGAGGCCCAGGTCGGTCAAAGGGAGGAGGGGTTGGCGAAACCGGCTCACGCAGCTGGTTCTCCCCCACGCTGCCTGGTGCCGGAGGCGCTACACCAGCTGCCCGAGGCGGCGCAGCAGGCGCCCCCCGCCGCCAGCGCTGGGGGAGGAGGTGCCGGGGAGACGTAGGGCTCGAATTCGCCAGAGCTCGGGTCCGCCGAAGCTTCTTGATGGGCCCGTCCTGGATTTTCAAGCTCCGGTTTTCGTGGGATGCCTGCAGCGGAAGCTCGCGCCAAATTTCAGACTGGGTCTCGTTATTTTCTTGACGTCCCCGTCAGGCCAACCCGATACCCTCGAACTCGAGTCTCGCGTCTCCCCGAAGAAGGTGGCGGGGCGGGTGGCCAGGTGTTGCTCTGGCCGCTCCTGGAGCAGGTTTCAAATAGCAGGAGAAGGCATAATCTTTCGGAGCTCCGCGCAGATTTCTCGGATCGGCGCCAGGGCCTCACTGGCGGCGCCTCTGGCGCCGCCCCTGGCGTGCTCTGCGCGCCAGTGAGGGGGGGTCCAGCGCAAAGAAATCCGCGCGGACTGTGGAACGTTCCCAAACCTCCGACGGCTTGATTTTTGCAGTGCGGGGTCCCTGGAGCTCTGGACCACATCCCAGGGAGCGTTTTTTCGTCCCGGATTGTGTTTGAACTGTCCCGGGGCTTGGCGAGGGCCCCCAGAGGCCAAAAACGACGAACATCCTTCGTCTTGAATGTTTCAATGCGCTGGAGGTCAGGGCTTCTGTGTGTGTGTGTGCAGTTTCTGAATCCTCTAAGGTTGCGCTTCAGTTGGTGGCCGCGAGGGGGGGCTCTCTGGCAGACGGGGCGAGCTACGCCGCTCCGGCCTTCGCGGCGTCTCTGGTCGTGGCCGCGGCCTGCGCCGCCGTCTACCTCGCTCTGGGCGCTGTCGGGCCGCCAGGCGATCAGCAGGAGGCCCAGCCGGGCGCGGCCGCTGCAGGATCGGCCTCCGGCCTTCGCCTGGGCTCTCGGCAGTCGCTGCCCGCCGCGGTGGCGGCGTCCCTGAGGTTCGGCCACGCACAGAAGGGGGGGAGGGGGGGAGGGGGAAGGCTTCAAAAGAAGCACCCCTGCTTCTCAAAAGAAGGCGCGGGCCTTGTCTGAAGATGCAGGGCCGGCGCCTTCTGGGAGGCAGCCTCCGTCGACGAAGCCTTGAGCCTCCCTCCCCCTCCCCCCCGTGCACGCCCCGCCAAGAGGTCCCTCCGCGGCGCGCCGGGCCGCTCGGCGCTCGAGCCCGCACCCTCGCTGGCTGCCTCCCAGCAGAGCGCCGCAGGCCTCCCAGCGCGTGGGCCCGGGGACGCCGCGCGCCCGCGGCCCCGCGCGGCGGCGGCCTCCCCGAGCCCCTCCCCGGTGCGCGAGGGCCTCGCCGCGCCGGCCTCCCCGCGCGCCGGGGCCGCCGCCCGCGGAGGCGCGCTCGGCTTCGCCCGCGGCTGGCGCCTCGGGGGCGCGCCCCTCGGGGGCGCGGCCCGCGGCCCGCCCGCGGCGCCCTCCCGGGCGCCGCCGCGGGCGGCGGCGGCCTCGCCCTCCGCCAGCCCGCGCCGCGGTGGCGCCCTCGGCGGCAGCGCGGGCCCGGAGGCTCCGCGCGTCTCGTCGCCCCGCGCGGCGCTGTGGCCGGCCCTGCTCGCCCCGGGCCGCGGAGGGTATTTGTACGTCGCCGCCCGGGATGTGGCGGCCGCTGCCGGCGGCGGCGGCTTCTCTGTCATCGGGCCGCTGGGCCAGGAGCTCAGCGGAGGAAAAGGTATACCCTACCCCTACCCTTCCCTCGTTTTCCACTTGTTGTTTCGCCTCCTGGGAGGCTCTCGTCGCCACCGCTGGATTCGCCTCGAAATCCTGGTCAGAACGAGAGGTCCGGGGAGTAGCGGTATCGGTAATTACCTTTTTGTCTCCCCAGGAGCTGCTCCGCGCGTGCGTGGAGCGGGAGGGCGGCGCAACCAGGCTGAGCCTCTCCCCGGTGCGCCTGGGCACAGCCCCGGCCGTGGTCCGCCCGTCGCCGCAGCGGGGCCCAGGGAGTCGGGACGGCTCCGCCGGCCCGACCGGGACCCATGCGGAGCTGGACATAGTCGGGCCCGACGGGAAGCGCTTCGGCACGCTGGCGCTCGTTGGCGGGAAGCGTGTCCGTATCCACGGCCTTGCGGTCTGGGCTTCTCGGCAGCGATCTCACGGACACAGGGCTGCCCCGCGCGGATGCTCCGCGCGGATCGTATCTTACCTATGGGATCGCGTATCCGTTACATCGCGCCTCGGCATCATCCAGACCGTGAGGGCATGGATGTGGGTACGTTCGTCGCTCGTGAGGCGAAGCTGCGGGACGGGGCCGGCCCGCACATCGTGCGGAGGTCGGGCGAGGACCTCCCGGCGGTGGTTGTCAGCGGGGAGCCCAGCGAGCTGCGTCTCACGGCCACAGCGGGCGATGGGGGCCTCATGGCCTCGACGGCGCGGGTGCGCGGCTGGGGCGGTCGGCCCGAGCAGGTGGAGGTCAAGGCTCAGCCGGGCGTCGACACCGGCCTGATGCTGGCGTGCGTGCTCTCGATCATCCTGCCCCTGTGAGGTCGGCCCGTCGAGCAGCAGAAGGCCGTTTTTCTGACCCCGCACTGGCCTGATGTTTCGGGAGTCAAACGATGGCATAAACACTACCTTGTGGAGGTCCGCGCGGATTTCTCGGATCGGCGCTGGACCCCCCTGCCTGGCGCGCGGAGCGCGCCAGGGGCAGCGCTGGAGGCGCCGAGAGGAGGGTTCAGCGCCGATCCGAGAAGTACGCGCGGACCTCCGAAAGCTGATGTTTGTGCCATTACCCCCGAGTGAGCGTCGGCGTGCGTGCTCTCGATCGCTCTGCCCTCGTGAGGTCGTGCCGTCGAGCACCATGCGGCGCGCAACGAGGCGGCCCCCATGCGGCCGCCTCGTTGCGCGCCGCCTCGTAGGTTCACTGGCAGCTCCAGCCATTCTGACTGTGCGAGTGGCCAATGGTGCCGAGCACGACAAAGGCGTCTGCACAGGCCGTCTGTCCACCCCCTCTGCCCTTCTTCTCTCTCTCTCTCTCTCTCTTTTTTTTTTTTTTTTTTTTTTTTTTTTTTTCTCTCTCTCTCTCTCTCTCTCTCTCCGAAATTACATCAGCATGTAATCCAATAGCCCATATCAGGGCGACGTTTGAACACAGTGCCGCGGCACTGCTTTGAACAACCCGCATCGTCCAAAGCAGTTCCCCGGCACTGCTTTGAACGATGCGGAAATCTGGCCAGCAGGGGGCAGGGAAACGACGACGACGACGGCGACGGACGACGACGACGACGACGACGACGACGACGACGGCGACGACGGCGACGGACGACGACGACGACGACGACGACGGCGGCGACGACGACGACGACGACGACGACGACGGCGGCGGCGGCGACGACGACGACGGAGCGTCTTTCTTTTTTTACATAGAGACAGACATATGTATGAATGTGTACAATTACACACCCACATATCTTCATATATACACATATTGTGTACATACATATATCATATATGTATGTACGTACATGCACAATTATGTATATCGTCGCCACCATCGCCGTCGCCGCCGCCGTCGCCGCCGTCGTCGCCGTCGACGACGCACGCCCTTCCGGCGCGCCCCCCCCGCCGCGAGTAGCAGTCACGGGGGAGCGGCTTGGAGGGGCACGCTCTGACCTCATCCCTGGGCTGTGGGCCCCCCCCCGCCGCGAGAAAGCGGTCACGGGGGGGTTGCTCTGGTGGGGCGCGTTCTGACCACCTCCCTAGGCTCTGGGACGGCCCCTTCGCCGCGGGAAAGCGGCCATGAGGGGGCCGCTCTGGTGGGGCGCGTTCTGGCCACCTCCCTGAGGTCTGGGGCGCCCCCCCCCCCCGCTGCGAGAAGGCGGTCACGGGGGAGGCGCCCTGGAAAAGTGAGCTGTCGACCCCTCCCACGAAAACATTACCCTCCTCACCTTCCTCCTCCTCCTCCTCCTCCTCCTCCTCCTCTTCCTCCTCCTCCTCCTCCTCCTCCTCCTCCTCTCACGTTCGGTTCAAGCCTGCGCCGACGGGCAGACTCGCGCGGTTGGCGGAGGCCGCAGTCGCGGTGGAGGCGGCCCTGGCCAACAAGCACGCCCTGGCCCAGTGGAGCCCCGAGGAGTTCAAGGTCAAGAAAAACAGGATGGCCGCCCTGGGCCGCCAGGCTCGCGGAACGGGCGTCCAATCGGACGAACAAAGGGGGTGGTGGGCGTGGTTCAAGACGCATTGGGGCGAGGTGATGTGCAAGGAGCACGAGGAGCAATGGCCGTTCACCTTTGCTGGGTGGCTGCAACGACTCGCTAACGACGCTGCCCTTGGCGGGCAAATTTCGCTGGCATTCCAGCCATACCTTCTGCGGGCCGCAGTTGCGGAACCACGGGAAGTCCATCTTGAGCGTGCGTTTTTCCAAACGCTTCCCGCGCGGGCAGAAGATGAGGGCACACCGCAGTTGCGGTCCTTCAGATGTTGGGATAATGATATTTTCTCCGTCCCTTGAAGTCCTCGCCCTCCTTCTGCCTCTCCGCCAATCCCCTTGTTGTTCTTTCAGTTCCTTTGAGTCCGCGACACCCTTCTGCCTCTCCCCCAATCACCTTGCGTCCTCCCACCATCCGAACCCACCCCCATTCGCTCCATTTCCCCCAACCCCCCTCTCGCCGCGACGGTATCCACCAGGGCTCGAGGTGGCGCGCGCGCGGTCGCGCGCATGTGGGCGCCTTCGCGCCCGGCCGCTTCGCGTGGGAACGTGCATGGCGGAGCTTGATTCTCCAAGACGGATGTCTTCCATGTGAATGAGGAAGGGGGCAAGGACGACGAAACCGCAGTCGCGGATGAAGACGACGGCCAGGGGGCGCAAGATGGCGACAGCGCCGTGGCGGAAGACGGGGCGGAACGGCTGGGAGGCGCGGGGGCCGCAGTCGCGGCAACACGGGACTACATGCCGAAAGAGTCGAAAACGCGATCCTGGAGGCGGGTGCCCGTCATCCACGCACATGGGAACATGGGAGCAGAAAGCGGGGCCCCAAGCGGGGCGGATCGGCTCCTACGTGGGCAACTTCGGAGCGACGGCAGCGAAACCCAGGCAACGCGCCGACGAGTGGGCGCAGATCCACGCGAACTCTGCCCAGATCATCGCCCTGACCGAGTGCGACGACGCGACCTAGTAGGCACCCTCCGGGTAGCGCGACGCGAGTGACAGCGCCCCCGCGGTTGCGGACGATAAGTTTCAGAATCGGACCCGCTGCAATTACCTGTGCGTCAAAGGCGGCGAGCCCTCAGGGACCCTCCTCGCTGGCATCACAGACCGCAGTGGCGGCCGCATTGAAACCGCCAGCGTTGCGAGGCTCTTCCACCAGCGGGAGAAGTCCAAGCCGAAGAGGAAGAAGAACCGATCCGCAGTTGCGGAGGTTCTTGCGCCAAAGTGGCACGACAAGTACTCCAGGGCGATGGTGGTGCGCAACGACTTCGGCCGGGCCGTGGCCCATCGGGGGGGGAGATTCCACGCGATTGCGGCGCGCGTCCACCACAACTTGGCCAACCAAGATTGGGGCGTCAAGAAGCTCCATGACTTCTACAACTGGTTCGCCGCCACTGTGGACGTCAACGCGTGTGCCCCCGGGAACACAGCAGGAGGCCAGCCCAGGGGAGACAGCATGGCGATTATGTTCATAAGCTGTCCTGGGGGCTACAGGCTTCACCATGCCCTGGGCGTCCTCCGCGACAGCGAAGCGCGGGTTCTTGACGACCCAGCAGGATCCTTTTTTCCGTGTCTACGACTACACGAATGGTCCCGGGAAGATGCTGCAGACTTACGCGCCCAAGGCTGCGCCCGTCGAAGACAAGATGCGCGCCTGCCTAGCGCCATCTGGCGACTCCGCGGCCGCAGTTGCGGACTTCGAGTGGAGGATGGCGCGGAGGGCGAAGGGCGAGTGGGTGCACCATCCCTTCAAAGTCAAGCAAGGCAATCTCGACGGCAAGATTGGCACGGCGCCTTCGGCAAGGCGCGAAACGGAGCGAACTTCCCCCTGGTGGCTTTCACGCGCAACGCGGGCCGCAGGTCACCTCAAAGAACCGCCGAGAGGTTTGAGAAGGAGGAGGAGCGGAGGAAAGCAAGGCAGGGCAAGAAAGGCGGTAAGAAGGGCGGCTTGAAGGGCAGCGACGCGGACGCCGCAGTTGCGGGGAAGGGCGCTCGGACCCAGATGGGAACCGCAGTTGCGGCTGAGACTTCTTATGCCGCGGTGGCGGCAGCGGCGCACGGTCCGAGTGGGAGTGGCACTCGGTCGCAGTGGATCCCGCGACGGGGTGGCCGGATTGGTCCGAGTCGTGGTCGACGGGAGGGGTCGCTGATGGCGGGCAGCACTCTGATCGCGCCGCAGTTGCGGACAATGCCACTCAGGGCTCGCCTCCTCGGCGGGGCGGGCGGGCCGAGTGGGGCTCCACGCGCAGCGCCGCAGTTGCGGACAATGCCGAGTGGGGCGAGTAGGGCTCCACGCGCAGCGCGGGCTCCTACGGGCTGTCAGACGAGCGCGCCCCGTGGAGCAACGAGGGGCAGCGTTGGTGATGGCCGCACTTGCGGGCCATTGCAGCATGGTGTTGGCAGCCGCAATTGCGGACAGTGCGCGCTGGAAAAATCATCATCGTCATCATCATCATCATCAGCATCATCATCATCATCATCATCACCACCATCATCGCTATTATCTGCATCATCCTGGTACTCATCAGCATCAGCATCGCCATCATCAGCCGATGTCGCATGTGACCCCCTGTTGAAACGGTCAAAGTAGTGCCGGGCCACTGCTTTGAAGCTGCTTGAAAACGTTCAAAGCAGTGCCAGGGCAATGCTTTGCATCGTCGCCTCGTCGCCCGTATGGGCCATTGGATTAGCACGAAGCTTGTTTTCGGAAGTCCGCGCGGATTCTTGGATCTTCATTGGGCCCCTCTCCCTGACGTTTTGCCCCTGGCGGCGCTTCGCGAGAGTTGGGTACACATGTGGCCACATGTCTTTCCAACGATTGGCCTTTATGTGTAGGCTGGGCTTCTGCATGTATTCAGCCAGTGGCCTCCAAACATGTCTGTTCCTAGATTTCGGGCCTCGGGGAGCCTGGTCCGGGCCCAGGGGGAGCTCGACAGGTGACGCCGCAGCAAGGCAACGGCCCCAGAGAGGGGGTCGGGTTCCAGATGGGCTCGCCAAATTTGGACTCACTCCCCTCCTCTACCCTCTTTCTGCTCCTGCTCCTGACGCTGGCGCTGTGTATGGTTTTGGGTCAAGCTCAGGCCTGGCGCCCCAGTGATCAGTGAACACTCCTTCACCCCGGCCAGAATCCAGATAGGTATGGAGGGGGAAGAAAGAGGAGAGGATGAAGGACCGACCGAACCGCCGACGCTGCGATTTCTGCTCCCCTTTCCTCCCCCTCGTCGCCATTTCAACGGTACTCCGTAGCTTTTTTTTGCGCAAGCACCGTGCGGCTTGCACGGCGCCCAGGGCCGCGCGGCACCCTTTTGGGGAAACCGAGAAGGTGCTGGTACCGCTGTTTCCCGGACCTCTCTCAGGGTGCTTTCTTCGGGGTTCCAGGAACGGGGGTCACTGCAAACGGGGGTCAGTCAGAGCGCCAGATCTTGCAGGATTCAGCAGAGCCAGGGTTGCACTGACCCAGGCTTGGGTGCAGGATCCTGCGTTCCTGCAGGATTTTGCAGCATCGTGCAACGCCTGACTGACCAGGGTCTGTAGATCCCCGATTTCTGACCAGGACTTCGAGGCGAATCCAGCCGTGGCGACGCGGGCCTCCTAGGAGGCCCCCCAAAAAGGCAAAAACGCGGGACGGGCAGCGGCATCGGTATACACCTTTTTTTCTCTCTGGACTCCTTCGGAGCTGGCCGACCTGTGCTTCCGTGCTACCGATCGAGCGGCATGACACGGCCTTCCGTTTCCGGCGCCCTCACCGCCTGCGCGCTTGCGCTGCTCGTCGGGCGCCTCCTGCAGTCCGCGTGCTTGCGCAGGCTGCTCCGCAACGGCGTGCTGCCCGGCATCCCCGAAGCGCCGCCGCCTGCCTACGAGAAGTGTTCCGACGAGGAGCTCGTGGCTCAGGTTCGGTGCGATCGAAGTAGGAACGGAAATCATGGGCACGAGTGGTTTGTTGTCGGTGTCGTCGCGGGCGTTGTCCAGTTGAAAGTAAAGGTGGCCTGCCCAACAGCGGTCGCTGTCGGTTTTGGACAGCGTTCGCTGTTGGGCATCGCACCCATTTTTTTTGGTACCCAGTTCGGGCGCCCAAACAGGTGAGTTTGGTGGTCACGGTGAAGGACTTCGATGAAGAAAGGGTGCAGTGCATGTGCAAACATCTCAGAGGAGGACGGGTATCGATACCGATGCCATTCCCTCGTATTCCTCCTCGTCGGAAGAGGTCTGGGGATTAGTGGTATCGGTGTCTTCTGGCTCCCCCAGAAGATCGAGCGACGCGCAGATTGCCTTGCGACGTACCCAACACATGTACAGCAAGCGGCTAGAGCAATTGGCTTACTTGGTACGGATGAGGGATTGACAGAGGCCGCGATCTGTCGTGCAAGCTACACGGAATGCTCGCGCGTTGCACGACTCACAGGACAGGATCTTTGAGCGAGGCATTGCCGTAGGCCACGCTAGGTCACCATGGCATGGCATGAAGCAGGGAACACGGAAAGACAACGATTACCACGAGCAGGAACGAGGGTAGAGAACGGTGAACGTATTGAAGAGGGACTGAGGACGCACTGGGAGTAATTACGCCAGGAGTCGAGAGGAGGGAGGCAGGAGCCTGGAAGAAAGCGGGGGATGATAGTGAGAGAGAGAGAGAGAGAGCAAGATATATCAGAGATTGAAAGGGTGAGAGAGAGAGAGAGAGCGGATAGAGAGAGAGGGAGAGAGCGAGAGAGAGAGAGAGAGAGAGAGAAAGAGAGACAGAAAGAGAGACAGAAAGAGAGAACGTGAGCGAGAGGTAATGGAGGGAGGCGGGAGGACGGAAGGACAGCGATTGGAGGGAGGCGAGTGACCCACTCCGCTAGGCCGCCCCGCAGATCACGAAGGCGGCGACAGTTCCACAGTTCGCAGCCGCCCAAGGGACGGCGAGGTTTAGTCTGGGTCCCCGCTGGGCCTCCCCGCCGCTCACGAAAGTGGCGACAGCTACGCAGCTGGCAGCCCCCCAGGGGACGGCGATGTCTAATCTGGATCCCATTGGCGTGCCCACTCCGCTGGCCCTCCTTGCAGCTCACGAAAGTGGCGACAGTTCCGCAGTTCGCAGCTCCCAGGGGACGGCGAGGTCTAATCTGGGTCCCCGTGGTGTGCCCAATCCGCTGGTCCTCTCCGCAACTCACAAAATCAACGACGGTTTCGCAATTCGCAGCTCCTAGGGGACGGCGAGATCTAATCTGGATCCCATTGGTGTACCCACTCCGCTGGGGCTTCCAGGATTCTGCAAGAGTGGCGACAGTTTTGCAGTTCGCAGCCCCCAGGGGACGGAGAGGTCTATTCTGGATCCCCGTGGTGTGCCCACTTCGCTGGTCCTCTCCGCAGCTCACAAAAATGGCGACAGTTCCACAGTTCGCAACCCCCAGGGGACGGCGAGGTCTAACCGTGGTGTACCCACTCCGCTGGGCCTCCCAGGGACTCACAAAAGCGGCGACAGTTTCGCAGTTCGCAGCTCCCCATGGATGCGAGGTAGACATTAGATATTCAGATCTCTGTAGTCAGGAGAGGTGGCGACAGTTCCGCATGAGGTAGAGGCAGAAGGAAGAGGAGGGGGAGGAGGAGGGGGAGTGGAGACCGCAGTGCTCTACTCAAGACGAGTGCCTAAGGGGAGGGCCGGGAACAAACCTTCGGAGGTCCGCGCGGATGTCATGGGTCGGCGGTGTACCCCCCTGATTGCGCCTCCAGCGCTTCAGCTGGCGCTCCGTGCGCCGGGGAAGGGGGATCCAGCGCCGACCTCAGAACTCCGCGCGGACCTTCTAACGTTTGCGTGGGTTCCACTCTTTGTCTGTATCGTTAAACCTATCCCCATCCCCACCGGACCATGGTATCTCAGCCCCACCGTCTCACCACGCCGGTTGGGGATGCGCCCCTCGAAGCCAGAGGGGAGCAGACTATCTCCTGTGTCCCCGTCCAGGGGGTCAAACCGGCAAGCGGGGCCAGGGCCATGCCAGCGGGGACGAGGATCGCCTGAACGATGCTAGCTTTGTTTCGGGGGTGGACAGAACCCCCACCCTGACACGTCGATTAGTGAATTGTCCGTTTTCGGTTCTCGAGAGGGCGCCGCGGCCGTCATTTTCCAGGCTTGCGCCAGGTTTGGGCCCGAGGTCGCTTTCACTAAACCACGTTTTGCTAAAGGGGATTCTGCCCATCCCCGACTGCTCCTCTCCAGGACACCTGCGCACAGGCCGAGGAGCTGCTGACCCACCTCGCCCGACTCTTCCCGCCGGACACGCACGTGTTCTACGCCTACCCGAACATCCGCGGGTGCCGGCACGTGCCCGCCGGCGAGGTGGGCCGCCGCCTCTTCGCGAACTTCACCGAGGTGGCCGTGGAGCGCGCCGACGCGCCCATCCCGGGGGGACGCAAGACGCGGGTTCGCCGGAGCTCGGGTTCGTTCGGTAGCGAGTCATGGGAGCCTGGTCTGCCCGCTCAGTTCCGTCCTTGGCGTCGATTTGCGTCTGGGAGGCGATGAGATAGCGCCGATTTAGCTTCGGTTGACGTCGATAAGCGCCCATTTGGCGTCGATTAGCGTCGGCTGGCGTCGAGTCGTAAGAGCCGACAAGATGGGATGGGAGGCGCCCATGAGTTGCCACCGAAGGTTCGCCGAGGCCTTTTGACGGGCCCGTCCTGAGTTGGAATTTGACGCCCTAGTTTTCGTAGGACGTTTGCAGCGGGAGTGCGCGTCAAGTTTCAGGCTGGGTCTCGTCGTTTTCCTGACGGCCTTTCAGGCCCACCCAGGTCCCTGGAACTCGAGTCTTACGTCTCCTCGACCATCGCTGGCTTCCTCAGGGTACAGCCGCTGCTGAGGACTCGAGGAAGGAAGACTAGACATAGTCTTTCGGAGCTCCGCGCGGGTTTCTCGGATCGACGCCAGGGCCTTCTTGGCGGCGCTTCTGGCGCCGAAATTGGCGCGCTCCGCGCGCTAGTAGGGACGGGGGTTCCACGCAGATCGAAGAAATCCGCGTGGACCTCCGAACGATTCTGTTCGTGCCGATTTTCTGCAATTCCCAGGACGAAGTACGCGGTGCTCATGCACAACGACGCGTATCCCCTGGAGCGCGACTTCGCGTGCGAGATGTACCGCGCCCTCGAGGCGAACCCGCACTACCCTATAGCGGCCCCGCAGATCTACGAGACCGCGGCCGAGGGTGTGATCGTGCCCCACGGGCACCACCAGAACCTGCACGCCCGGCCGTCCGCGTCCGGGCAGGGCCTTCGCATCGATTACGACCTCAGTCTGCACCTCCTGACCCAGCGCAAGCCTGAGGACCAGGGCTCGACCAAAATGGTGTTTTGGCGATTAAGTGGACCGTTTTCGGTTTGACTTCGTTTTGCAGCGAAGGCAGAACGAACACAACACGAGGGACAACGAAAGCAGAACGAAAATCAAAAAGCGCTGTTTCAGGTCGGGCCCTGCTGAGGACTTCCGCGAGGGGCCCCAGGTGGACTTCCTGGAGGACCACGCCTTCTTCGCAAGGGCTGACAGGTACCACGAGTTGCTGGACCCAGCTGGCTCCTTCACGCTCGAGTACATGGACATGATCCTCAACATGCGGGCCCGCAACACGTCGGCGTGGTACGTCCCCACGGCGCGCTGCGTCTTCGAGGTGGATACGGGGAAGATCACGTGGGAGGACCTGCCCTACCTCGTCTACAAGCGCAGCGAGCAGATCGGCCACCAGGTCCGCACCTACCTGACGAAGAAGTGGGGCCTGGAGTTCGTGAACACGGGCATCTGGAACTACGTCCGCTACGTGATGCTCGCCGAGGTCGTGCTGGAGGGCGACGCGCTGCCCGTGGACTGGAAGGACCAGGCCGCCATCTTCTACAGCTGGTTCGAGAGCGTGGGCTTCAACCGCTACGACGGGCAGTACCTGCCGGACTTCATCGACGAGCCGCCGACCGGGCCCGTCACCGTGTCCCGCACGCAGCGGCAGCAGCTCCCCACCGACGTGCCCGAGCACCGGGTGCCTCCCCGGGCGGGCGCGGACATCCTGCCGAGGCAGAGCAGGAAGAAGGCCGGCGCCATCGACCTCTCCTTCCGGGACCCGCACCTGCCCATCGCCCTGCGCACGTCGGAGTGCAACGCCTCGGAGCCCTCCTCGTACGCGCTGTGCGGTCTGGCCGTGCAAGACGGCGACAGGTGCACGTGCTGGAACTACGTGGTGCCCTTCAATCTTAAGACGACGCTCTACCTGGACAAGCTCATGGCGTGGATGAAACTTCCGTCCCGTGCCTTCATGTACGGGCAGATGAAGTATTGGACCGTGCACATCGACCCCAGCAGCGTGGACCTGAAGTGCGAGGGCACCCAGGAGAACTGCACTTACCAGGTGCAGTTCGGCCCGGACGCAAAGGTGCTTCAGTGGTCTTGGTTCGGCAAGGAGGCCAAGACCATCTTCACCAAGGAAGGAATGGTGATCTTCTTCCTTATCGCGTCCATCCTGTCCATGCCGATAATCCTCCCGCGCTTGGCCAAGGCGGACTGGGCTGGCTCGAAGAAGTGGGAGGTGCGCTCCTTCGTGGCCCTCAACTGCGCAGTCTGCGCCGTGGCTGGCCGGTCGTGATCCGCGGGTGTGCCAGCCCGCCAGGTCCCCATGGGGCACCTTCACGCTGCCGCCTCGCGCGGGGAGGCGGGAGCTAATGCCGAAGCCTACGCCGTTTCTCCGTCCTCGCCTTCTACTGGGGCCACCTGGGGAGGCCCCCAGGTGGCGAGACGTGCACCTCGTGCTTTTTCACCACTCTGGCCGCTATGGGGAGCGGCGCCCTGCCACTGGCGCGGGCACACATTCGCACGCTCAACATGGGGACGGAAAGCACAGGCACGATGCAACGGAGGGGAGGCCACCCCTAACCCCATCATTTGCGTTTGCTGAACGGCCCTGGGCGTCTACTCGGGGTTCTTTCTTGTGTTCTCTCGCGATGCCCAGCAGCGGATGCCGTCCAAGACCGAAGGGCGGCCGCTGCTGGGCAGGCGGCGAGCGTCCCAGGAGGTGGGCAGCGTCCGCGGCGACACCAGGCAGCGGCTCTGGCCCCCGTTGAGCATGGGGGAAACAGGTCCGGAGGGACCACTTCCAGAGAGACATCCACATCCACGCCCACTTCCACGGCTGCCGGGAATCCCGCCCCAGATCCGAGGTGGAGCGGTGGACGTGGACAGTGTCCCGCCCCTCGGGTGCGAAAGGTCCTGAGGGAGGCGGGTCCTGGACCTTCGGGCCTTCCACGGTGCAGCGCGAGCGGGGCCCCCGTTGAGCATGGGGGAAACAGGTCCTGAGGGAAGCCAGAGCTCGATTCAATTTCTCCGCTTCGATTCGAGTCGACTTCTCCCGATTCGGCTGCCGATTTCCGCCGATCCGATTGACTTCGATCTCCGATCCGACTCATCGATTCGATTCTGGGCCCTCCTGGAGAAACGGGTCCTGGACCCTGGGGCCTCCCCCCAGGATGAGTTCTTCACTCTCAGGGCCTCGAGGGCCCGAGAGCGGCGAAGAACACCTCAGGGCCCGTCGCCCTCGGGACCCGTCGCTCCCCCCGTGGCAGCCCGTCCTCTCCGTCCCCGGGGGTGGTCTGCCTCGGAGGGAGGGGGCAAAAGCTGTATGGGACAGAGAACTTTCGGGTGTCCGCACGGTCTTCTCTCGGGTCGGCGCTGGGCTTCGCCGCGGGCGGCGCATCCGGCGCCGCCCCTAGCGCGCTCCACGCGCACCAGGGGTCGGGTGCTGCTGGGAGGGCCCCTGGCCCCAGGTGCCCCTGGGATTTCCAGGGAGGCCCCTACCAGGGCCTCCGGAGCACCCCTCACGGGGCCCAGAGGGCCCCGAGGGCTTCCAAATTGCTCGGAAAGCGGGGGGGCACCTTGGGCCAGGGGCACCTCGTAGGAACCTCGACAGAGAGCGGGGTCCAGCGCCGATCTAAGAACTCCGCGCGGACCTCCGACAGTTTATCTTTATGCCTCTTTTTCTTCCCCTGCAGTCATCGTGCTAGCATGAGGAGCCTTGAGTAAGGAACGAAGGGGCGTTTTTGGTCACGGCCACGGCGAGCCTCGGCCACGAACAGTTCCCCCGTCCTAGATCTTAAGGAAGGGTCCGAAAACCAGAGCCCTCCCGAATACAAAGCGATCCTTCTTTCAGCGTCTTGGCTGTAGAGATCGCGAAATACACTTGCATTTTTGCACAGCGCTCGCCGTCATCGGCGGGCCCTACCTCGTCGCCGCCTCGGCGCCAAGGCCGCGCGTGAGGGCCGAGGGGGAGGCCGATTTCCAAGTCGCCCGCTCTCGGAACCAGCGCCCTTGCCCTCCTCGTCCCCCCCCCCCTCCTCCTGGCCAGGGGCACCCACAAGTCGGGTCGGGCGAAAGGGGGGGTTTGGGAAAGGGGGGGTTACGAAATCTGCTGCGTGCAGCTGGTTTCGGCCTGACCGAGGGGCCCATTCCTCGATACATGGGCGCCTCCCGGCGCCGGGAGGCGCCGGGAAAATCAGCTACGCGAGCTGATTCTCAAACGCCCCCTTTGCTATCCCCCCCTTTCGCCCGTCCCGAACAAGGGGGACGAAGTTTCGAGGTTCGAGGTGTTCGGGCCTCTCGTCGGCTCCCGGCGGCTTTCCGGCCTCGGGAGGCTTCCAGCAGGTGCGCCTCGCCGAGAGCGCTCCGCGGGCGGCCCCTGTCGTCTCGATCGGCCGCTCCTCCTCCTCCTCCTCCTCCTCCTCCTCCTCTCCCTCCTCCTCCTCCTCCTCCTCCTCCTCCTCCTCCTCCTCCTCCTCCTCCTGGGGACAAGGTCAGGAGGGAACTTAAGCTCGGGGGGGGAGCACCGACCCCCAATGGCCAATGCTTCGCCGACAGCGGCCTCATAGCCCGCGCCACCCAGGAGCGTGCGGTCTCGCTATGGCGGGCCACTCGCCGATCTACCGGCGCCGGGTCGCCGATTCCAAGTTTCTCCCCCGGCCGTCTCTTCCTGTCGCCCCCCCTCATCGGCGATTGCCAGAGTGACGCCACGGAGGAACAGGATCCTCAGGGAAATTGGTTCTTCCCCTCCTTCGCCTCCTCCTCCTCCTCCATCCCTTTTCCATGTACTTACACATATGTATATGTATATGTATATATATATACACGCATGCAACTCCTCCCTGTCGCACCCCCTCCTCCCTGTCACCCACAGTTATCCCGAATCTTGAACTTTGTAACCGTTTTACGGACCGAGGGCGGGCTGTGTTTTCAAATGTGGTTTTCGCCTTGGCGCCGCGCACATTCGCCTTGGCGCCGCGCACATTCGTTTTGAAGAGACGGTCCCCGCGTCTCCTCCTCCTCCTCCCTCCTTCCCTGCTCTCATCAGCATCATCATCATCATCATCATCATCATCATCATCATCATCATCATCATCATCATCATCATCATCATCATCGTCATCATCGTCGTCATTATCGTCGTCATTATCGTCGTCACCATCATCAACATCAGCATCATCAACATTATCACATGTTTCGTTGCCCCATAGGGAGCTCCGCCGAAGGTCCCATTGGCACAGTTCGCATGCGTCCCCGCCACTCATTTCGGCACACCCCTCACACGTTTCGTGGCCCCATAGGAGCTCCGCCGAAGGTCCCATAGGCACAGTTCGCATGCGTCCCCGCCACTCAATTCGGCACCCCCCTCACACGCTTCGTGGCCCCATAAGAGCTCCGCCGAAGGTCCCAGTGGCACAGTTAGCATGCGTCCCCGCCATTGATTTCGGCACACCCCTCACACGTTTCGTGGCCCCATAGGAGCTCCGCCGAAGGTCCCAGTGGCACAGTTCGCATGCGTCCCCGCCGCTCAATTCGGCACACCCCTCACACGCTTCGTGGCCCCATAGGAGCTCCGCCGAAGGTCCCAGTGGCACAGTTCGCATGCGTCCCCGCCACTCATGTCGGCACACCCCTCACACGTTTCGTGGCCCCATAGGAGCTCCGCCGAAGGTCCCAGTGGCACAGTTCGCATGCGTCCCCGCCATTCATTTCGGCACACACCTCACACGTTTCGTGGCCCCATAGGAGCTCCGCCTAAGGTCCCAGTGGCACAGTTCGCATGCGTCCCCGCCACTCATTTCGGCACACCCCTCACACGTTTCGTGGCCCCATAAGAGTTCCGCCGAAGGTCCCAGTGGCACATTTCGCATGCGTCACCGCCACTCATGTCGGCACACACCTCACACGTTTCGTGGCCCCATAGGAGCTCCGCGGCGAGGTCCCAGTGGAACAGTTCGCATGCGTCCCCGCCGCTCATGTCGGCACACCCCTCACACGTTTCGTGGCCCCATAGGAGCTCCGCGGAAGGTCCCAATGGCACAGTTCGCATGCGTCCTCGCCACTCATTCCGGCACACCCCTCACACGTTTCGTGGCCCCATAAGAGCTCCGCCGGAGGTCCCAGTGGCACAGTTCGCATTCGTCCCCGACGCTCATTTCGGGACACCCCTCACACGTTTCGTGGCCCCATAGGAGCTCCGCCGAAGGTCCCAGTGGCACAGTTCGCATGCGTCCCCGCCACTCATGTCGGCACACACCTCATACGCTTCGTGGCCCCACAGGAGCTCCGCCGAAGGTCCCAGTGGCACAGTTCGCATGCGTCCCCGCCACTCATGTCGGCACACCCCTCACACGTTTCGTGGCCCCATAGGAGCTCCGCCGAAGGTCCCAGTGGCACAGTGCGCATGCGTCCCCGCCATTGATGTCGGCACACCCCTCATACGTTTCGTGGCCCCATAGGAGCCCCGCCGAAGGTCCCAGTGGCACAGTTCGCATGCGTCCCCGCCACTCATTTCGGCACACACCTCACACGTTTCGTGGCCCCATAGGAGCTCCGCCGAAGGTCCCAGTGGCACAGTTCGCTTGCGTCCCCGCCACTCATGTCGGCACACCCCTCACACGTTTCGTGGCCCCATAGAAGCTCCGCCGAAGGTCCCAGTGGCACAGTTCGCATGCGTTCGTTTTCGTTCGCGTTGTGTACCACGCCACTCATGTCGGCACACCCCTAGCACGGTTCGTTGCCTCACAGGGATCACCACCGAAAAAGTGAATCACAATTGCGGTACTCACACCTGCATATGGTTGGGTCCTTTGTCGGGCTATTCTCAGTAGCTCGAAGATGGAGGGCTAGTCGTTCTCAAAATGTAGTTTCGCTTTAGAGCCGCGCGCATTCGTTTTTTCCCTGACCATCCTGTGATGCTGGGTCCTCGATTTGAAGAGACAGCACCCCGCGTCCCACCTCACCTCACCTTTCTCTTCCCGCTCCTCCCTCCTCCCCTGCGCGCCTCTGCTATTCGAGTCAGTCTACCATTTCGGCACACCTCTCACACGTTTCGTGGCCCCGTAGGGAGCTCCACCGCATGCGGTGTTCGCATGCGTCCCCGCCACCCGATGTCGGCACACCCGTCACAGGTTTCGTGGCCCCACAGGGGGTTCCACGGAATGCCCCAGTGGCGGTGTTCGAATGCGTTCCCGCACCCGCTTCGTGGCCCGATCGGGAGCTCCACTGAAAGCACCAGTGGCGGTGTTCGCATGCGTCCCTGCACCCGATTCGGCACACCCATCAAATCGTGGCCCC